TTTCTTCAAAAGTTTTATAAAATTTATAAAATTTCTTATAAAACGCTCTAAAATACTTTAGTTGATGGCGAAAATTGTGTTCCAAAACTACAGAACGCCCTCTTTTTCTCCCTGGTTCCATTCTACTCGCTATTTGTTTTGATTTCTCTCTCTTTCAATCCTTGAACGACCCTCAAAGCCCACTCAGTGATTTGCTACTTTTGAATCACTCCCTGAAACGAAGCTTCAGACGTGAGTGGTCACATGATCAATCAGGCATCAACACAGTGGTTCGAGGCAACCTTTGTGACACGAAGCTTCAGGGTCAAGGGTGACATCACTACCTTTTTGATCTTGTTGGCCTGCTTTGTTATGATCGTCCTTTTGTATTTTTGGTCTGTTTTGGATTTGACCCATGCCTCATTTCTGACAACGAGCTCGGATCACATTCTAACCAGTAAAGCCTTTTTTCCTGATTTTATCCACAAGCGTCTGGTCAGTTCTGAGAAAAGCTTGAACGGCTCCGTCTTCTTTGAGTGTCCTCTGTAAACATTTCCGCTGGGTAGCGTTTCTCTGGAGCTGCGCGTGTTCTTCTGTATTTGCAGCATGTTTGTAAAACTTAGCACTGGTGTCGCCATTTTGATGACGTCTACGACTTTGTGGCCCATTTTTATTTTTTTGGAGACTGTTTGTAAAATGCAGTGTAAATTTGCCATTTTGACGGACGTGCTTCCTGTGTTTGCAGCTCATTTTTTAATTTTACAGTGTTTTGGGCCTTGTCGGCCACCGTAGTAAACCCCCCCAGTGAAGAAGCCGCTACTGAAAAAGGCAACAGGCAGAAAACAATAAATCAAAGAAGATGCTGGTGTTCTCAACACAATGGACTGACCACCCCAGAGTCCAGGCCTCAACACCACTGAATGTGTTTGATTACTCCAGAAAATGATCAACCAGCCTCTAAGACTGAACTTTGGAGGTGAGTCTGCAGATTTCTGAAGAGGTGCAAAAGTCAGAGACCATCTGTCATTCAGTCAAAAATGGCCAAGTACACTCTTAAAAAATATGGTTCTTCAAGGGTTCTTTAATAAGAAAACGGTTCTTTATAGAACCATAAACATCCAAAGAAGCCTTTACATGGTTAAAGGGTTCTTTGCATCGTGAAATGGTTCTATAGATTGGTGGAGAATGTGCTGTAGATGGTTCCATAGTGAACCTTTTCAAAAAGGATTCTATATGGCATTAAATAGGGTTCTTCTATTGTTATGATGTCAAGCTTGTAACAATAGAAGAACCTTTTTGGTGCTATATAGAACTCTTTTCAAAAAGGATCTACATAGAACCATCGTTTTCAAGAGTGTACAAGAGCCCAAACCAGTCCAGGCCTCAACACCACTGAATGTGTTTGATTACTTCAGAAAATGATCAACCAGCTTCTAAGACTGAACTTTGGCGGTGTGTCTGCAGATTCTTTGAGGAACTGAAAGTGAGTCTCCTGAAAAGAATGGAAGCTGTAATAAAGGTAAAGAGTGACACACTGAACACTCAACCAGCTGATATTAGATTTAGCTCTGTGTAATTTTCTGCACTTAATGGCCGTTTTGACTGGAAATTGAATAAATAAAAGGATGCACAGTGGGCCTATAAGGTCGGTTGACCTCATAATGTCCAGTTCCAGCCCACGTGCAATTATGAGACCAATAATATGTCCAGCACATCAGTCATTTTCAGTATAAAACTGAAAAACAACACTTATATTTCAGTACTTTGTTGGGTTAAACTGGTTCAGATACATGTGCTGTAGCTGCATCTCTCATGCTTAATGCACAAGGACCCCCTAATTATTATGAATAGGTGTAGCTTTAGATGTTCTACCTGAATCTGAGAGCATTCACGGCCAGCTTTTGCATTTTGGGTCGTAGATCGTTGAACGGCATGCAACTACTTCACCCTGCTGCATGCGCGGTTCCTCTGGCCTTTGAATGCACTGCCTGTGTCAGGTGTCTCCTGCAGGCCCGAGTGGCCTTTCTGCCTGGTTTAAAGCCTCTCAGAGGCAACTCTGGCCTTTTGGATGCGCCTGACGTTACTAACTTGTAATCTTACTAAATATAAAGTAGTTCTTGAAAATAAATGTGAATCTATGTGATTTATCTTTGAATTATAAAGCATTTTAATGCAAGTCTCACTTTTCTGAAGGCTTTGATGGCTGAGTTGAGTTTGACGACAGCGCCATCTGGTGGAGACACACAGATTAGCAGCGGCACGCTTCAGCATTCCAGCATACTTGTGAGCTTATTCCACAAGTAACTCTGTTGTTGTGTCAATGACTGAAGCAGCCAGAGCCAACTAAAAAGGAGAATTCCACCGTTTTTTCAAAATTTCTGCATAGTTAAATGGTTGAGATGTAAACCGAGTCGAGGTGTGAAACGCTCTGTTCCAGAGAAACTTACTGAGTCAGAATTGTTCACAGAGGTGGTGATAGGAACCAGACGTCCACCTCTAAAAGCTCCCTCACAGAAAGTTACTACATGAAATGGTTATGAATTCACTGCCTGATGACTGAGACACTGTTTTATGATAGTTTTGAGAAGATTTTGGCCTTATTCATGGCCATTCATGGTGGAGGGATACATAATATGCAGGGTGTTGTGAGGCAAAATAGTCCCCAAACAAAATTTTCAATTTCAGATTTTCCACTATTTTCCATCATCAACATTCCATATAAACTCAGAAGACTCGTGTAGGTTCACTGGAGGTTCTGGATAGTAAATAAAATGTTTATATTTGTGTTGTAGTCATGGCGACCCCTGGTTCCTATGACCACCACTGTAAAGACATCTGAACCATTTCACACCAAACCGCTCTGAATCACTCTGTTTACATCACAAACACTCAGTGCAGAAACTTGGAAAAATTTCCATTTAAGTTAGAGAAGATACCAGAGCGGACCAAAAACAATCCTGAAATGCTGTTAGTACATTCAGTATCTATCAGCATAGGAAGTTTGTTCGGCTCTGTTCTTCTCTTTTTGGATCCTTTTGGCCTAAAAGATAATGCTATAGCTCTACAGTGAGAACAGGAAAGCAACCTAGGATCTAAACCAGGGCAACATAATGAAATGAAAGGGGAAATTTTAGCATGTCTCAGTCATCAGGCAGTGAATTCATGACCATTTCATGTAGTAACTTTCTGTGAGGGAGCTTTTAGAGGTGGACGTCTGGTTCCTATCACCACCACTGTGAACAGTTCTGACTCTGTAAGTTTATCTAGAACAGAGCGTTTCACACCAAACCACTCTGAACGACTGTTTACATCCTAGCCATTTAATTATGCAGGAATTCAAAGAATTGGTGGGACTCCCCTTTAAACTATTCAGACATCTGGTTCCTATCACCACATCTGTGATGTATTCTGACTCCAGAATTGTGCGTTTCAGCATTTCAAATTTCTTAATTTTATTTACATCTCACTGGCAGAATTATGCAGAAATTGTGGTGGAATTCCCCTTTAAATTCAGAAAAAGGAAGAAGAAACTAAATGCTGAAAGACTAAAATGCAATTAAGCAAAATGTAGATTATTTTTTTCATAGAGAGACTTCAATATAATTATTGCTTGAAGATGTTTGAATTTTACATTTTTAGTATTTGAATTCAAGTAAAAGGAAGTGAGTTAATCTTAAACCAATTTGAACCAATCGCTAGTTTAAACTCCATATACACCGATCAGGCATAACATTATGACCACCTCCTTGTTTCTACGCTCATTGTCCATTTAATCGGCTCCACTTACTATATAGGTGCACTTTGTAGTTCTACAGTTACAGACTGTAGTCCATCTGTTTCTCTGATACTTTGTTAGCCCCCTTTTACCCTGTTCTTCAGTGGTCAGGACCCCCATGGACCCTCACAGAGCAGGTACTATTTGGGTGGTGGATCATTCTCAGCACTGCAGTAACACTGACGTGGAGGTGTGTTAGTGTGTGTTGTGCTGGTCTGAGTGGATCAGACACAGCAGTGCTGCTGGAGTTTTTAAACACCTCAGTGTCACTGCTGGACTGAGAATAGTCCACCAACCAAAAATATCCCGCCAGCAGCGTCCTGTGGGCAGCGTCCTGTGACCACTGATGAAGGACTAGAGGATGACCAACACAAACTGTGCAGAGATGAGCTATCGGCTCTGACTTTACATCTACAAGGTGGACTGACAAGGTACGAGTGTCTAATAGAGTGGACAGTGAGTGGACACAGTGTTTAAAAACTCCAGCAGCACTGCTGTGTCTGATCCACTCGTACCAGCACAACACACACTAACACACCACCACCACGTCAGTGTTACTGCAGTGCTGAGAATGACCCACCACCCAAATAGTACCTGCTCTGTGAGGGTCCATGGGGGTCCTGACCACTGAAGAACAGGGTAAAAGGGGGCTAACAAAGTATGCAGAGAAACAGATGGACTACAGTCTGTAACTGTAGAACTGCAAAGTGGACCTATAGAGTAAGTGGAGCTGATAAAATGGACAATGAGTGTAGAAACAAGGAGGTGGTCAGAATGTTATGCCTGATTGCTTTATAAGCTATATTTGTAACAGTAGTTCACTTTTCTTAATAGTAAGGTGTTCATATAAAGGCCCTTATAAAGCTTAGAGATAAAACGTAATTCATGAATTTCACCAGAACACAGATTTTTTGTTTGTTTGTTTGTTTATTTCTCCAATCTGTTTAAAATCTTTCAGTTTGCGGGCAGGTTCACAGTATTTTGAACATAAAATTGAATATCACAGAATTTTCCTGTCGGAACAAACCTCGTATCTCCATTTTTGTTGTTTTTCAGTTTTTGACATAATTTGAAAATACCTGTTACCCTTTACATTGTTTATAAATTTCATGATGAATGGACTAAAAGAAACGACCCAAAATCACTTGGAAAAAAGTCTGGTTCCATTGACTTACATTAAAAGTAAGGTATGTTTTTTCCTTCTCCTGTAAAGTTACCATTTTGGAGATACAAGATTTTCTTCCAACAACAGCGATATGCTGAGACCAGCAGAGTTAAAGCTATAAATATGTAATTACCCCTATGTATAATACATAAAGGTCATATGTTATGTATATTACCATAGAAGCAGGTGATTTATAATATATGCATGTAACATAATAGACAATAGAGATAATGGAAGATGATTAAAGCTACATTTCATCTGGGACGCAGTCATTGTAGAATATCTGGAAGTTCTTGTCCACGTCCATGCGTCCTTTCAGGAACTTCTCCAGGGTTTTGAGAGGCACCTCCACCACAGCGTTGTTAACCCGGTCGTTCAGGCCGTAGGCCCCGAAGGCGGGGAACCGGTAGCGCTCCAGGTAGGGAGCGTTGCGGTCAAAATCGGTGCAGCAGTACGCCGTCCACATGTACTCTGGAATGCCCACCCGGTCATTGTTATTCCTGCAGATACGGATGTTCAACAACATAAACACATTATTCAGAGCAGCACAAACAAACGTCATTCATCTGCAGAGCTGAAGTCAACAGAGGCTCTAAAACTGCCATTTTTGGGTTGTAGGTTTGCGTCCTCTAATGGTTGGTTGGGCTACTTCCTTGTAGCTAAAGTGGTTAGCTAGCTAGCTAAGTCATGGTAGCTAATTTAATTTATAACATTAAATTTATAAACATTTATAATATTAAATTATGGTTCATACAGCATGAAAAAATGTTAAATACAAAGAAAGAAGCCGATGGAGAGAGATGGTTAAAACTTAATGCTGCCTTATGTACGTTTTGGTGACCTCTCTGGTGGAAATGTGTAATTGCATGCATGCGTCAGACCCCTTCCCTGAGCGGATGAATGTGACGGTTGCATCTGCGTTGAAACAGAACTCAAAACTCGGTGAAGGACACATCGTCCCAGAATGTGAGTGAGTTATCATCATATCTTCATCAGTATAATGTTGATTTTTGAGACCCGGACATTCTTTTGGAGCCCGTTGGGTTGATATACAGCCTTACTCCTACCTGCGAATCATGTTGCCGGCCGTGGTGGTGCCGGTCACCACGTAGGCCGTCCCGCGGCAGTAGTTGTTTAGCCGCTGCCGGATGCGGTCTTCATGCTGCCCCCACGGGCCCACGTTAAACTCTCTGATCTGTGGGACGACGTTGGTGAGGGCGTAAGTGGCTGCTTTGTCCACGGGGTCGGCCTGGTGCTGGTCAGGGTTCAGATGACCTCTCTCGTACTGGACCACATCCGCAAAGTCCTCCAGGGTGGCCTGAGAGTCCATCAGCATCCGCGTGCTTGAAGACGGAGAAAACGGCTCCATGTTACTGCTGCCCAGACCTGAGGCCAGCTGTAAATAAAGAGAGAGAGCTAATATATACTTTCCCCGTATTGCTAGGGTGTTGATTTATGGTTACAATGGTTTTTAAGTGGTTATTAAGTTGTTGCTAGGCGACTGGTTATAAGTGTGTGACAAGGTGATCACTATGGTGTTCCAGGTGGTTGCTAGGGTGACAGCCGTATTTTTTAGCGTTCTGCCGTTCATTTCTATGGTAAATGCCAAAACAAGGAAAAATCAACTCTGACTAACCCTACATACTAACTATAAACACACAAAGAACCCTAATTAAAGGGTTCTTGGGATCATAAATGGGTTCTTCTGAATGTATTGCAGATGTAATGTATTGTATTCTTCACATTGATGGAGAATGTGCTTTTTGAAAACGGTTCTATATAGCACCAAATAGGATTCTTCTATTGTTACTACACACTTATAAAAGATGGTTCTTCAAGGGTTCTTTAGTAAAGAAAATGGTTCAATACAGAACCATGAACACACAAAGAACCCTTTGCATGATTCAAGGGTTCTTTGCATCGTAAATGGGTTCTTCTGAATGTATTGTAGATGTAATGTATTGTATTCATCAGATTGATGAAGAATGCGCTGTAGGTGTTTCCATATAGAACCTTTTTGAAAACGATTCTATATAGCACCAAATAGGATGGTACTACAGATGGTTTTTCAAGGGTTCTTTAGTAAAGAAAATGGTTCTATATAGAACCATGAACGTTTGCATGATTAAAGAGTTCTTTGTCTCATGAAAGTGTTCTTCAGATTGATGGAGAATGTGTTTTATATGGTTCTACATATATAGCATTAAAAGCGTTCTTCTATAGTTACAGGCTTTGTAACAGTAGAAGAACCTTTTTTGGTGCATAACAATAGAAGAACTGTTTCTGGTGCTGTATAGAACACTTTTCAAAATGGATCTATATAGAACCCCATAAAACACATTCTCCATCGATCTGAAGAACGATGCAAAAAGCCCTATAAACATGCAAAGGGTTCTATGAGTGTTAATAGTTCTACATAAAACCATTTTCTTTACTAATAAAGCCTTGAAGAACTTCATTTTTAAGAGTGTAGTTGATGCTAATGGGATTCTAGTAGTGTGTTTTTGCTGAGCTAGCACTGATTCACGTGAGTAATTTTAGGGTTCTAGATTAAATGCTGGCGTTTAAAGCTTTTAACAGACATTATCATATATCTGAGCTTGTATATATCAGTTTTAGTGACTCTTTCAGTAAAGGGTTCTGACGTAGAGCTGCCGCTGCTGTTTTCCATTCCTAACAGCTAACTGGAAGCAGGCTAGACGACTTGTATTCAAAGTCTGAGGTGTATCTAGAACTTCAAGAGGGCCCAGAGTGATGTTTTTGTCTCACAGACTTGGGCTCATTGGCAACCAAAGCGTGATTGGTTGATTCCTCTGTCAGCTTGTATGTTGGTAGTTAATCTATTGTGTAAGGCCTTCTTTTCAGCTCCTGAAGTCCTGACCAATGGGAGAGCACGAGAGATCTTTAACTTTCTCCCTCACAGAAAGTTACTACATGAAATGAATACACTGCCTGATGTCTGAGACACTGATCCACTGTAGTTTTGGCCTAAACCAAATTTCAATCCATTTATTTTAATCCATTCATGGTAAAGGGATAAAACAGGGCATTCTAAGGCAAAATAGTCCTCAAAGGACATCTTATTTTTCAGATTTTCCACTATTTTCCATCATCAACATTCCATATAAACTCAGAAGACTCGTGTAGGTTCACTGGTGGTTCTGGATAGTAAATAAAATGTCTATATTTGTGTTGTAGTCATGGGGACCCCTGGTTCCTATCACCACCACTGTAAAGCCATCTGAACCATTTCATACCAAACCACTCTGAATCACTCTGTTTATATCTCATACACTGAATTATGCAGGCATAATTAAAAATCTGTGAAATTCCCCTTTAACAATGAAATAACAGCATTACTGCAAAACTTGTAGAGCATAAACAAAATAAGTGTGATAATTCTATTAAATAAAAATGACAGACATGTATTTTTTATTTCACTGGACTCACAGGGCCCTGAGGGTTCCCCACCTGAACCATAATTCACAGGCAATGACAGGTTGAGGCCTCCCCACACGCACAGCTGTCGGAGTGAGTGAGCTCGGACGCTTTACTATGACATTTCTCAAAGGTGCCTTTCATGTGGCGCGGCGCTAATCTAATCTAGCAGAAACACAAATGAGGATGAAAATGCTGCCGCTGCAAAGCTAACGAGCTCGGACAGAATGAATGAGTTTTGTTCTGGCGCTCTCTTTCTCTTCCTCCACCGCCCTCCCGCTCTCTAATTCCCCTCTGCAATCTCTCATCGGTTATTAGCATTATTGATGGCAGTGATATTACATGTTTAAGCGTGTGGCGCTGGTTCAATAGCAATAACAGCAAACAAGCTCAGAGGGAGCAGAGGAGATGAAGAGGTGGCTGATTTTATTCCTGCTGAAGGTTCTGCTTCTCATCTCGTCCCTTTCTCACCCTCCTCTCTCGCTTTGTCGCTACTCCCTTAATTTCAGAGGAAACACTGATGAGCAGGCGTCTTATGTAAGTGGTCAGTCTCCAGGCCTTGTGCTACACTCTTTACTAAAGGGTTCTTTGGTAAAGGAAATGGTTTTATATGGAACCATGAACACTCAATGCATGGTTGAGGAGTTCTTTGCATCATAAATGGGTTCTTCTGACTATTTTGCAGATGGTTATATATACAGACAGTGCATTTTAATGCACAATAACTGTTTATTTGCTCAATTTAACATATCGCTGCTGTCAGAACCGAATCTTTTTCTCCAAAATGGTAACTTTACAGGAGAAGGAAAAAACATACCTTACTTTTAATGTAAGTCAATGGAACCAGATTTTTTTCCCAAGTAATTTTGGGCCGTTTCTTTTGGTCCGTTCATCATGAAATTTACATACAATGTAAAGAGCAACAGGCATTTGCAAATGATGCCAAAAACTGAAAAACGTAAAAAACGGGAGATTGAGGGAAAAAATACAAGACTTTCTCCCGACAGCAGCGATATTGAGGGAAAAAACAATCCATTAAAAGTGACCTGTGCAAAAGTGATGACACATTTTGTAGATTATGGTTTATTTTTTTCCCCAGTGTTGTAAATTCAGTAAAATAAAACAGTAACTGTGGTTTAAATGTGCAGAAGTGAGTTCTCTGTAGAGGATGTGTTCACTTATTATCACTGTTCACACTTTTGCATACAGTCGTATATCCTGATCACGACTACTCGGACTCTCTCGTATCCTCTTATCACTCAGTTTGCATTTTAACTGAGTGTGTTAGTGTGGAGTGTGTGTGTTGGAACTGGACAATGTCTCACCTGTCTGTTACCTGTCTCACCTGCACAGTGCTGAACACCTGAGATATTCCACCAAATGGCAAATGTTATTCAGCACAGAATATTACAAAATAAATAAAATATTCACTGGATATTTTTCTCTTGGCCATGCTTACAATTCCAGTTTATTTGCAACCCATTAAAGCCAAAGCCTGTTCTATAGGCCCTTTTCACAACAAACAGTATGTACAAAAGTACATAAATGCTGGGTAAACAAGTTTCGCTACAGCCTTATGGACAGTTATTAACCTCAGAAATACAGGCGTTCGTGTCACTTCAGCTCACCATGCACTGTTAGAGATAAAGGGTCTGTGCAGGTACATTCGTCATTCATCGAGGTACAAACAGTGTAAATGTTCCCTCAAAGGTACAACAGTGGTTTTAAGGTCTGATTGTGACCCAGCTGTGGCCTAGACTCTCGCTGCGATGCTGCTGGGACTGAATGAGTAAGTGAGTAGAAGCCTGAGCTATTTGCTTTGAATGGTAGCAAACTGATAAGCAAATTAGGCAATTGGTGCCTTTCATCTACTGACGTGCCTACACTGCTCCCCCAGCAAGAGCTGCCAACTTTCGAGGACCAGACTTGAGACCTAAGAGGTTTAGTGGAGGAAGCCACATTAATGATTGTGGCTGTTTATTGACAGGGGTTGATGGAGCAAACAGAATATCACTGTTAGAAATAAAGGTTCTGTTCAGGTACATTTTCGTTCGTCAAGGTACAAACAGTGTAAATGTTCCCTCAAAGGATCAACAGTGGTTTTAAGGTCTGATTGTGAACCTTAAATAAGTTTTTCCAGGTGAAAAGTTCGTATTTGTACCTTTTCATAACCGAATGTTTTAAACAGAACAGTAAAATAAAAGCCTGGAGACGAGACGGGGTGTGTGGAGTCAGTACAGCTTAGAACATATCATTTCAGTGGATTATGGTTCAGTTATGTTCCCTGACTAAAGGTACTGAGATGGACCCTTGAGGGTTCCACCCCAGTGGCAAGAGGAGCACTGACCCAGTGACAGCTTAGTACCTTTATTCCTGAGAGTGTGGAAAGGTGTCTCACTTTATCTTTGTCATAGTTGCTGAGATGGAATTCGAGGTTGTGTGCAGAACTGTTAGAGAACCAAACACCAAAAGCTATCAGAGCACAGTATCGTCAGCTAACGTCTGCAGAGTGATAAATCACTGAATAGGTGAAAATAACTATAACCAAACGCTAGATTAGCCGTGCTAGCTGGAGATGTTGAAACAGCTCACTAACAATAACTGCTTGGCAAAAAGCTAATGATGCACACACACCAGCAGGGGGCGCGCAGGGTCGCCAGGGTCCGTAGCGCCACTGTAGACGTTTTCTATAAACACCGGCACCAGTGAACGAACATCTGCTCCCCGCTGAGCTCTCGCTCTCTCAGATACTGACAGGTTTTGAGGGGGAAAATGAAAACTGTTCCTCTGAAAGCGGCTGCAGCAGCAACTTTAAAGCACAAACTGCATGTTAACGTTGGTCAGCAGTGGTGAAAAGAAGACACAGAGGTTCTTTTCCTCCGTATGACAAAGTCTGCTCCTTTGTTAAATGCACAAAACCAGTTTTCCTCTGCTCATCATCAGCAGACAAACCACTGAAACTGAGATGAGGCTGTTTTCCCTTCAAACCCGAGCACGTAAGTAATCTGTACACTCTACTCATCATCGTTGTTATTGTCGTTGCTTTAGCACAGGGTTAGCAACCCAAATGCTAACAAGAACGATTTTGTCCTTTCAATAAAAATCAAACCAATCAAACCATCTTGGCTGCAAATGTGTCTCAGTATGTGCTGATGTGGTATAGGCTGAAAAATATAATATAAACGAAAACGCAGACTTACTTTGGTCTGCTTTAAGCTTTAGCTCAGCTATAGCCACTTTTCTCACATCTCCTGCAGGAAACTTTTCCTCAAAAGTAAAAAAGTTTTTGTAAAATGTCTCAACATCCAAATTTTTATGGGTCTAAAGTCGCTTCTCATTTGCGGCTTCTTGTAAAATTTCTCGTTCCACCTTAAATGGTGCATGAGGTGCCAGAATGTAACTGCTGTACCATTTAAGGTGGAACGGGACAATTTGAACAAGAAGCTGGCGAATGAGAAACTGACTTCAGCTTCACGACTTTTTAGTGTTTGACAGTTTTTCGCTGCAGAATAAACGTATCAGGAAACCAGCTGAAGTGATTATAGAAGCAAATAAGTCCATATTCTAGATGGTCTTCTTAAATCTCTCTCTTTGCCGTTTCGTTAGCTACTAGCTAGGCGAGACTGTTGTCTGTGTTGCTATGGTGACCAGCAGTCTGCGCTGATCTTCAGGGTTAAAGGGTGAATTAGCAGTTCTACATTAACTCCAGAGTTTAAGACCATTTATTGTTAAACTGTGTTGAACGATCAGCAGAGCTTTATTTTACTGTAAAGGAGGATTATTTTATTTTTACCTACTAATCAGATTCAGCTGTGGAGCCTCAACAGGGCAGTAAAAGAGCCGCATGCAGCTCCGGAGCTGCAAGTTGCCGACCTTTAATTTAGCGGAAGCCGTGTTTCTCTGCAACGGCCACGTCCAGTAACTTAGTAACGTCCAGTCTTAGTGTAAATAAGTGAACACATCCTTCCAGAGACACACTTCTACACTTTTTAATGCACAGTTACTGTTTATTTACTGCATTAATCCTATTGGGGAAAAAAAACACAAAGTATAGTCTGTGCAAAAGTTATGGCACGCTTTGCATGTTATTTTTGATATTATTCCCCTCAATATGTTAAACTCAGCAAAGGAACAGCACTTCAAAATCATGTTTCTGTGTGTTCTCTGTAGAGGATGTGTTCACTTATTCACATTTACACTACTCACACTTTTGCTTATGCATACAGTCGTATATCCTGATCACGACTGCTCGGACTCTCTCGTATCCTCTTATCACTCAGTTTGCATTTTAACTGAGCAGTGTGTTAGCGCGAGTCTCTCCTGTTGTGTGTGTGAACTGGACAGTGTCTCACCTGACTGTTACCTGTCTCACCTTCACTGTGCTGGACACCTGAGATATTCCACCAAATGGCAAATCTATTCTATTCTATTCTATTCTATTCTAATATTTTCCATAATAGATAATGAACATCTATTCTATTCTATTCTGTTCTATTTTATTGTATTCTATTCTATTCAATCTAACAATAGATATGTTTCCGTAATAGATAATAAACATCAGTTCTATTCTATTCTATTCTATTCTATTCTATTCTAATATTTTCCATAATAGATAATGAACATCTATTCTATTCTATTCTGTTCTATTCTATTCTATTTTATTGTATTCTATTCTATTCAATCTAATAATAGATGTTTCCATAATAGATAATAAACATCAGTTCTATTCTATTCTATTCTATTCTATTCTAATAATAGACATTTCCTTAACAGATAATGAATATCTATTCTATTCTATTCTGTTCTATTCTATTCTATTTTATTGTATTCTTTTCTATTCAATCTAATAATAGATATGTTTCCATAATAGATAATAAACATTGGTTCTATTCTATTCTATTCTATTCTATTCTATTCTATTCTTTTCTAAGCTAATAATAGATATTTTTCCATAATAGATAATAAACATTTATTCTATTCTATTCTATTGTATTCTATTCTATTCTATTCTATTCTATTCTAATAATAGACATTTCCTTAACAGATAATGAATATCTATTCTATTCTATTCTGTTCTATTCTATTCTATTTTATTGTATTCTTTTCTATTCAATCTAATAATAGATATGTTTCCATAATAGATAATAAACATCGGTTCTATTCTATTCTATTCTATTCTATTCTAATAAAAGATATGTCCACGATAAAAAATAAACATCAGAACTATTCTATTTTATTCTATGCTATAGAGTTGCGCACAAACTGAGATGTAACTTATGTGTACAGTTGTATGCAAAACTTTGGGCCCTGAGCAAATTCCCTGTATTTGTTGATTTTCTAAGTGAAAAAAAGGTAAATGAGGTGAAAATATTAAATGCTGCCTGGACAGAAGTTATGGCATACTTTAAATTTTATATTTTTCATATTTCTCCAGCAAATAGATAGAAACTGTGCTCTAAAATTAGCAGAAGATGCTATGTTTAACTGTGTTAACTTATTTATACTAAGAAAATCAACAAAACATGTCATTCAACCAGGGGTGTTCAAACTTTTGCATAAGTCTGTACAGTTTCTTTAATTAACCCCTCAATATTAACAGAACCATGGCAGGTCCAGACTAGTGTGCCAGGACCCAAACTCAACCATGTTTCATCCTTTTCATGTAGTTACTAATATAATATTGATGTGAATTATGGTGCCTTATTTCTATAAATTTATTTCAATACACTTATGTACTTGTATGCAAAAGTTTGGACGCCCCTGGTTTTCACCCCATGTTTTTCTATGTACAAAAAAAATGACCCCATTAAAATCTCAGGGTTATTCCACACCAAGGCTTATTATTCAGTAACTACAGGGACTTCAGTGCAAACAGGCTGAGCTATTCTCAGGTTATAGAAATGTGTAACAAAACTTTGGGCTCAAAGTTGGGTATTTATATTTCTATTGCATTGTATTTTTCCAATATCTGTGTTAGTGTAATATAGTCTGGTCGTGTGACACTGAAGTTCATTCAGTGTCTCACTCAGTCTCACCTGAGGTTCGTACATCCAGGGCTGGTCCACGCTCTTCTCCCCATCTGATTTTTTGAAGGTGTAAGCCGAGTAGATGGGCATGCGCCTGCGGGGGTCGTACAGGGTCACGTAGCGCGGCCTGTCCTGCAGCCGCTGGCAGATTTTCTTGTGCCCGTGGTTCAGGTAGCCCCTTGGTGGAGTGCCCATGTAGAGCGAGTCTTTACACCGCTCCACATGGTTAAAATCCTGCACCACCCCGGCATGGGCCAGCGGGAGGCACAGCAGCAGGTACAGCCAGCCTTTCATCCTGCTACTGTCGCTTTATCTTCACTCTCTCGCTCTCTCACTGCAGCACCCTTGAACTTTCCCTTTAACTCTGCAGCGTCACCACTCTCCTCCCATTTCCTACTGTCACTCTACAGCACTTACCATCCTTATACTCTGCAATTATTGTTTATTTAGTAGTCTGAAGGCTTATTACTCTGTAATTACTACGACAGCGTGTGTAATTTATGTAGTTATGAAAGTAAGGAATTGCCTCATGCAGTCTCATTACATGATGGAGACTATTCACTGTGCTGGTGTGGACGCTTTATCTAGTGCTTGGTCACAACCATATAAGGAGAGACACACAGACTTACAGATAGAAATAAAACAAATTAGAAACTTGTACCTCCACTAACTGGCCACTTTATTGGAAACACCGACCTTGTGCTTCCACCAACTGGCCAACTTATAAGAAATACCTACCCTGTGCTTCTGCTAACTGGCCACTTTATTAGAAACACCTACCCTGTGCTTCCCCTCACTGGCCACTTTATTAGAAACACCTACCTTGTGCTTCCACCAACTGGCCACATTATTAGAAACACCCAACTTGTGCTTTCATTAACTGGCCACTTTATTAGAAACACCTACCTTGTGCTTCCATCAACTGGCCACTTTATTAGAAACACCCAACTTGTGCTTTCATTATCTGGCCACTTTAATGGAAACACCTACTTTGTGCTTCCATTAACTGGCCTCTTTATTAGAATCACCTACCTTGTGCTTCCACCAACTGGCCACTTTATTAGAAACACCCATTTTGCACTTCCACATACTGGCCTCTTTATTAGAAACACCTACATTGTGCTTCCACCAACTGGCCACTTTATTAGAAACACCAACCTTGTGCTTTCATTAACTGGCCACTATAATGGAAACACCTACTTTGTGCTTCCACTCACTGGACACTTTATTAGAAACACCTACCTTGTGCTTCCACCAACTGGCCACTTTATTAGAAACACCTACCTTGTGCTTCCACCAACTGGCCACTTTATTAGAAACACCTACTTTGTGCTTCTTTTAACTGGCCACTTTATTAGAAACACCTACGTTGTGCTTCCACTAACTGGCCGCTTTATTAGAAACACCAACCTTGTGCTTCCACCAACTGGCCACTTTATTAGAAACACCTAAATTGTGCTTTCATTAACTGGCCACTTTATTGGAAACACCTACCTTGTGCTTCCACTCACTGGCCACTTTATTGGAAACACCAACCTTGTGCTTCCACCAACTGGCCACTTTATTAGAAACACCTACCTTGTGCTTTCATTAACTGGCCACTTTATTAGAAACACCTACTTTGTGCTTCCACTCACTGGTCACTTTATTGGAAACACCTACCTTGTGCTTTCATTAACTGGCCACTTTATTAGAAACACCTACTTTGTGCTTCCACTCACTGGCCACTTTATTAGAAACACCTACCTTGGGCTTCCACTAACTGGCCACTTTATAAGATAAAACTATCATATAGATCCAATATGTGGGTGTACAGTTACAGGCTGAAGACCATCTGTCTCAAAGCTGTACAAAGGCAATGGAGGAGTTTCTAATAAAGTGGCCAGGGAGAGGATAGTTATGCACCTTTGGTAATACATTAGCTTAATATGTCTCTGATATATAAAATGTGATAAATGTAAATGTACTGATGGTGATATTTTGCAGTGAAAGCAATTTTTCAAAAGAAACACAATGAGATGTGATACAGGGACTCTTTATTTCATTCACACCAAGAAAAACAGGGTTTCTCTGTCATTCTGACTCTGTTTTAACACACTGCTTTCAAACGAGGCTCAAATTACAGCTGATCACTGAGAGCTGTAAACGTCGCTGAGCCGTTGTGAGTGTAGGCAAATTGCCACCATTTAACTTCACATTATGCAGAATTCTTTAGAGATAAAGAGGCCGTGTAAACGTCGGCCCGTGTGTGAGATAAAGGCCTGTAAAGTAGTAAAGTAGTAAATGTCCTTTAACTTTTGGACACAAATTTAAAATGTCATTCATCTTATATACCAAAAAACAACTAAATCACCTTCACACCTTTCAGCTCTACACCTTTCAGACAAACCCGTTACGTTCTGTTTTTAGATTTATATGTTACTATTATTCGATCCTACATCTGTTAAACAAACCAGTTAAAGCTACACACGACAGAAGAGAGAAAAGAATAATAAATCACAGAGACAAAACAGTAACACATATTTCTAACAAACCCTACAAACCCAGTAAAGACAGGATACAGAAATATCACTTTTAAAATCCATGTTAAGATGAGAAGAAGAGGGTTTTTTTTAACAGAAATGCACACAAAGGTGGGAAAATGTATCAATGTATCAATCAAAAGCTTGAAATTCAAATAGTTCTATTGTGAAACTTGATTATGATCAATTATAACAACATTCAAGAAAGTATATATTTAAGTATAAGTATCATTTTTGGCCAGTTTTCAGACCATTTTCAAATTCTCAGGCAAATTTTTTAATAATTCTGGACTGTAGTTAAATTTCAGATTTCATGATGCATTGAGTCATTTCCTTAAAACATCATAATCAAACTGAGTCAAAATTTGATAAAATACACTGAATCTTTTTTGACAGAATCATCGTCAGATTTAATTAAATCATGATGAAACTTGAGATTAGAGATTTCTTTAAAACTGAGTCATTTGCTAAAGAATCAAACAACCTGAATCAAATCATGAAGGAATCTGAAATGTCATGATATAATGAACACATTATATTATAGAACAATTGAATCTTTGAAAGAATCATTAACAAATTGAATCAAATGATGATGAAACTAGAGATTTTGTGACACTGAATCATTTCTTAAAGAATTACATTCAAATTAAGTCAGACTGTGATGAAATTAGAGAAATGATTCAATGAATCTTTTTTGAAAGAATCATTATCAAACTGAATCAAATTGTGAAAAATCTGGAGATTTTATGAAGAATTGAATCTTTTTTGAAATAATCATACTCAAACTGATTTGAATTATGATGAAACTCTGAATTTCATGAAACAATGAATCTTTTCCCAAAGAATCATTATATAATTGAATCAACTCGTGATGAAATTAGCGAAATGTCGCTCTGAATTTCTTCCTAAACGATTGTAATCGAGTAGAATATTTGAAAGGTCAGAGATTAACAGCCCTACTTTTTCATGTGTAACGATACAGAAGAATATAAAAACATGGCGAGAGCAGCCAGAGAAAGAGAGAACAGGCCTGTGGAGGCCAGAAGCACAGCGATGCTGTGAGGCAAGGACGCATCTCGTCATATGGTGTGGTGCAGGTAGAGCGGCAGTGGTGACGGAGAGATGCAGTTGTCATAGAATATCTGCAGGTTCTGGTCCACGTCCATTCTGGTCTTCAGGAAGTTCTCCAGGTCCTGCACGGGCATCTCGTGGACCGCGTTGCCCTCCTTGGCGTTTTTGGCCAGAGCACCCTGGGTGGGGAAGCGGATTCGGACGTCGTGCGGCGCGTTTCGGTCATATTCGGTGCAACAGTAGGCCGACCAAACATCTTCTGGGATGGCCACGCGGTCCTGGTTGTTTCGGCGGATCATGTAGCCTGCAGTGGTCACACCGGTCACAATGAACGCGGTTCCACGGCAGTAGTTGTTGAGGCGAACTCTAATGCGTTCCTCATACTCTCTCCAGGGCCCGATGTTAAACTCCCGGATTTCAGGCACCACGTTGGTCAAGGTGTACGTAGCAGCGCGGTCATGAGGGTCAGATTGGTGCTGATCAGGGGTTCAGATGACCTCTCTCGTACAAAACCACGTCGGAATAGTCTTCGAGGACCGCCTGGCTGTCTTCAAACTTCATGTGCAGGTAGCCGGTAGGGAATGGAAGCATGTTTCCATTGCCATCTGTTTCTGCAAGCTGGAAATCAGAGGGATGCAGTGCTTTAATGTCTTAAACTACAGGCTTATTATACAGTTATTAGTCTGAAGAGTGGGGAGCTGAAGTGTCGACCCACATACAGAAATAATAAGCACTTATTAAAAAATCCCCAAAATAAGCATCACCATTAGACCATCGCGCCTGTTACCTCTAAGGGTCATTGTTTCTCCATTAATGTCATTGTTATTGCATATAACATGCATGTCATTTATATGAATTATTTCTGACTCATAGCTCACTGTAAACGTACAGAAAAAGTATGTGGAAAATGCAGATTCTAAACTTTCGATTCATACCACATTAGTGTTTGTAAGTAAAAGAAGAAAATGGAAAAATCAGATTTGAACCTGTTGATAAATAATGTAACTCAAAAGTCGATGTAATTTATTGCAATCATGTAGTTACTAAGCATAAGTATGTAATTACTTGCATAATAATATTTAATTACTTTTACATTTTTGTCAATCATCAAAAAATGGAAAATGTTAGATTATGTAATTACTTGTGTAGTTACATTTAATTGCTTTAATTAATTTCTTTTTTTCTACATGGAAAGAAAAGTCTGACTCAAACCTGTCAGAACTTCATTGTCAATGTAATTGATTATTATCATGTAATTACTGAGCATAACTGTGTAATTACTTGTGTAATTATATCTAATTACAATTACATTTTTGTCTTTCATAATGAAAGAAATGAAAAAGTCAAACTTGAAGCTGATGATACAGAATGTACATTTGATGTAAATGCAAGTCTTTATAATTATGTAATTACTAAGCATAGCTATGTAATTACATGTGTAGTTACATGTAATTACATTTACATTTTTGTCGAGCTTTCACATCAAAAGAAATGAAAAAATCAGACTCAAACCTGTCAATACTTTGTCAATTTAATGTATTATAACGTATGTTATTACTAAGCATAACTACATAATTACTTCTGTAGTTACATTAAATCACATTTACTTGTTGGTGATCTTTGACATTGAAACCTTTCAAGCATAACATGAATGTTAATGTAAATGATCATAGTTGTGTAATTACTAAGCATAACTATGTAATTACTTGTGTAGTTACATTTAATTACACTTCCATGTTGGTCAATCAAAAGAAAATGTGGACTTGAGCCATGTAATTACTAGTGTAGTTACATTTAATTGCATTTATATGTGTGTCATCCTTTCACATTATTTATTATCGTTATATTATTTATTATGTAATTACTAAGTATAGCTATGTGATTGCTACTGTACTTTAATTAGTTAAATGATAATGCTAACTACAATTCTTGTACAATTTCTATATTCTATATTCATACAACATCTAAACGTTCATACCTGAGGCTCGTACATCCAAGGGTAGTCCACCCTCCGGTCACCCTCGGTTTTTCTTGAACGTGTACGCAGAGTAGACGGGGATGCGCTTGCGGGGGTCATACAGGGTTACGTAGCGTGGCTTGTCGGCGTAACGCTGGCATATCTTCTTCAGGTGGGTTTCGATGATGCCCCTCGGTGGAGTGCCCATGTACAGTGAGTCTTTGCATCTCTCCACATGGTTGAAGTCTTCCACCACAGTCGCTGTGGTCACTACCATCACAGAGAGGAGCACCTCCAGGCTGAGGATGAGGTTCATTTTGGTGGGGCTCTAGCCGAGGCTCTCGCTGCGATGCTGCTTGGACTGAATGAGTAAGTGAGTAGAAGCCTGAGCTATTTGCTTTGAATGGCAGTGAACTGATAAGCAAATTAGGCAATTGGTGCCTTTCATCTACTGACGTGCCTCCACTGCTCCCCCAGCAAGAGCTGCCAACCTTCCAGGACTAGACTTGAGACCTAAGAGGTTTAGTGGAGGAAGCCACATTAATGATTGTGGTTGTTTATTGACAGGGTTGATGGAGCAAACAGAATATGTTAGAAATAAAGGTTCTGTACAGGTACATTCATCATTCATCAAGGTACAAACAACATAAATGTTCCCTCAAAGCTCCAACAGTGGTTTTAAGGTCCGATTGTGAACCTTAAATAAGTTTTTCCAGGTGAAAAGTTTGTATTTGTACCTTTTCATAACCGAATGTTTTAAACAGAACAGTAAAATAAAAGCCTGGAGACGAGACGGGGTGTGTGGAGTCAGTACAGCTTAGAACATATCATTTCAGTGGATTATGGTTCAGTTATGTTCCCTGACTGAAGGTACTGAGATGGAGCCTTGAGGGTTCCACCCCAGTGACAAGAGGGGAACTGACCCAGTGACAGTTTAGCACCTTTATTTCTGAGCGTGTAAGAGATTGTTATAATGGTAATAAGGTTCACAACACAGAATGTTCTTGCTTCGCCAACCAAAGCCAGCCAGCTCAGCTAGTTAAATCATGTAAAGGGCCTCTAAAGGAGGAGCTTTCAGAAAGACCTAATTCTGCTCATTTAAGTACACTCTTAAAAACAAAGTTGGCAAACAGGTTCTTGGCACGATTGAGGTTCCCAGACCTGGTGACCCTGGATCTGCACATTTTTGTGTTTCCCGTACTCTATATAACTGTGTCAGCATTGAATATGTTTACGTGCACACAATAGTCTGATCATATTCAGATTCCTGCAGTTATCTGATTACTCAAATGGTCCTGTAAACAGCATAATTCTTAGATTGGAGTAAGGTCTAAAATCCAATAAAGAAATCCAATAAAGGGGCTGGATTTTAGCCCAGTAATCAGATTTCAGTGCATGTAAACTCTTACTCTGATTTCTTTCGAATTTCCCAGTCTGAACATGTGCAAAAACAAAAAAAGATGTATGATCATATTTTCAGGTAAAGTGGCGCGATGATTAAAAAAAAGCTGCAGAGTGAATTTTGAGTCTTACATTGAGTTTACGTCACGTTTTCTTTTTTCTTTCCCTAAAAAATCTTTCAATGGATGGTTCTTTAGAGAACCATTTTAGTAACTGAGATGTGTAAGTGTGAAAGACATTTTTAATATTTAAAAAAACACCATGTAATGTAAAGTTCTAGGAAGAACCCTTTAAAGGGGCCTAATTGAAACCCACCCTTCCCAGAAAACCAGACTTTATTAATAAGAGTCATTGGGTAATAAACCTGACGCTACATTCACCAACCTCTGCAACATGATTAAATTGTAAGTTGCTCTAGATAAACATCATGTGAATGTAATTCTTTAGAACCTGCACATTATATGAAGGTTCTTTAAACCTTTAAAAGGTTCTTCAGGGAACCCTTCAGTGGCATCACTCAAATAACCCTTTGTGGCACCTTTTTAAACCTCTGGGGTTCACAAACTTGCCTGCCCGTCAAATTCAATGTTTCTATATCTGTGTCTGTATCTTTGTGATGATCCAGCACAGAAATCCAGTTCAAACACTTCCTGAATCTGTAGAGTCGCTCTTTCCATTCCATCTGATCACGAGATCATACGAGACTCACATCCGGAGTTATGAGCCTATGAAGAGGGGCTGAGATACACATCATCTGCCTCTCACCGTGTGGAACTGGTGGGTTCGTATGTCCATCTACATTCTGTGTGAAACTGACCAACGGACACTCAGGAAATCACTAAGGACTGACCATCACACCGGAAACCCTACATTCCTCATTCAGTCCACATCGGAGACTCATGTGAAACGGCGTGCAGAGAGTTTACAGCTGCTGAAGCTGCTGCAGCGGTTTTGGAAAGTAGTGATGAAGATAACGGAGCATTTAGATATGAAACATATGAGGATCACGTTATATGAAGAGCCTTTAAGGAGAGTTTAGGAAGAGATGAACAAATCAAGAGAATGTCCTCAGACCCCAGAGGGTTAAGAGTGGAAATAAAAAAAAGAGTGCAAAAAAAAACTCACGGAGGACTGACAATTCAGGTTAGCAGCTCCAGACCAGCATTTCCCAATCCAGTTCTCAACAACTCTCTGCCAGTCCATACTTTTGCTCTACCCCAACTCTAAGCACACCTGAGACAGGTTGTGTGGGTAGAATTTGATTACGTGGCCCAGCTGTGTTGGGAGTTGTATAGAAGTGGACTAGACTGAGGTGTCCTTAAGTTCTGGGCTGGAACCTGGCCTTAATGTTGGCCTCATTTAACAAAGGACTGCTTACTTGCACACACACTATTCAGACCTGCCTGTGGTACATTTCTTCCTAAATCAAAACTGGTCGTGCTTTTGGCAACAATGCCACTTTTAGTTCCCTAAAGAATGTGTGGTTCTTTAAGGAACCACTTCCTAATACATTAGATATTTGAGTGTGAAGATGTGAAGCTTAAAGAACATCCTCAGAACACAAAGGGTGAATACCAGGTAAAGTTGTTTTTCTGGAGCTGTACATCCAAGCCAAAAACCATCACATGTTCAAAAGGTGTTCAGTGGAGCTTCATCATTCCAGCTCATCCCAAAAGTGTTCAATGGAGCTTCATCATTCCAGCTCATCCCAAAAGTGTTCAGTGGAGCTTCATCACTCCAACTCATCCCAAAGGTGTTCAGTGGAGCTCCATCACTCCAACTCATCCCAAAGGTGTTCAGTGGAGCTCCATCACTCCAACTCATCCCAAAGGTGTTCGGTGGAGCTTCATCCTTCCAACTCATTCCAAAGGTGTTCAGTGGACCTTCATCACTCCAACTCATTTCAAAAGTGTTCAGTGGAGCTTCATCACTCCAACTCATCCCAAATGTGTTCAGTGGAGCTTCATCACACCAGCTCATTCCAAAACATGTTCAGTGGAGCTTCTTCACTCCAACTCATCCCAAAGGTGTTCGGGGGGGCTTAATCACTCCAACTCATCCCAAAGGTGTTTGGTGGAGCTTCATCCTTCCAACTCATTTCAAAGGTGTTCAGTGGAGCTTCATCCCACCAGCTCATTCCAAAACATGTTCAGTGGAGCTTCATCACTCCAACTCATCCCAAAGGTGTTCGGTGGAGCTTCATCACTCCAACTCATCCCAAAGGTGTTCGGTGGAGCTTAATCACTCCAACTCATCCCAAAGGTGTTCAGTGGAGCTTCATCACACCAGCTCATTCCAAAACATGTTCAGTGGAGCTTCTTCACTTTAACTCATCCCAAAGATGTTCAGTGGAGCTTAATCACTCCAACTCATCCCAAAGATGTTCAGTGGAGCTTAATCACACCAACTCATCCCAAAGGTGTTTGGTGGAGCTTCATCCTTCCAACTCATTCCAAAACATGTTCAGTGGAGCTTCATCACTCCAAAATCATCCCAAAGGTGTTCAGTGGAGCTTCATCACACCAGCTCATTCCAAAACATGTTCAGTGGAGCTTCTTCACTCCAAAATCATCCCAAAGGTGTTCAGTGGAGCTTCATCACACCAGCTCATTCCAAAAATGTTTAAAGGAGCTGCATTAGCTCAACATTTTCAACTATCATTTGTTGAGTGGTTTTTGACATCAGGTGGATTGCATGTGTGGTTGAAAATAAACCAGAAGACATTTCCAGTCTATACTTTTCTTCCATTTCTGTCTGTGAACTCCTTGGGTGCCTTTGGAAGTCATTTTTGGGCCTTGGTCTTTGGTGCCTACTCACCAATTTGTCAATGCTTTCTTTTTCTAGTGCTCAAATGGTAAGAATTCATAATGCATCATTTATGCCTAGAAATACCAGACACTGAAGGTCAAGATAAAAAAGTTTGTCTTAGTGGTTTACAGGCTGTGTATCAGTACTGTGTGCCAAGGACCAATGACCAGTACCAACTTTTATGCTATTTTCACTTACTCAAGGATCATTTGTTCCAACACTTAACTTCTCCTTAATGGAGTGACTGAAAAGAGATAGATCATTATTTCAAAATGCATTTGAGGAGAAATCTTCTGAAAAAAATTGCAATTTGTGCTTTTGCCATTTATATTTTATTTAGAATTGTATTTAAATGCTTGAATATACATCAAAATTGACCTTAGTGTTTACGTTTCACAGTGTCTGTGTTTACACGCAAAGATGTTTGCCTGCTATCCGATTGAATACATTCCCATTATAGATGAAGACTGATGTGTTTATTCTCACTCTATTCAACAATCTGATGGAAAATCTGTTTACATGCTCACTACAGGTAATCCAATCCAAAATTATGCACATGTAGAGAACCATTTAGGGTAGACGTTACCATGACAACCAGCATCACGTGAGTCCAGTCAGAGTGAGATGAGCAGCAGTGAGCAGTGCTTGTGTTTTTAATTGCTTTAAAATGATGTCAGACTTAGGAAAACGTCCTTCACATGTCCTTATTAAAGAAGGCCGAGAGGAAGACGTCGTGTTCTGAGACACATAAGCTGGACGTCCGTCCCACCGCCGTCTTTTAAAGACCAGAGCATAAACTTCGTCTCCTCTGCAGACCAGTTTCTGCTCCGCCATGTTGAACGGTATAAACTTTCACTCTGACGCAACAAATATGATCAGAACGGACTTAAACTTTCCGATAGGGAATGTAATCAGATACAGGCGTTTACGTTTAACGGATTATTTACAGGATTACCCACCTCGATCAGTCGGATAGAAACTGTATTCCGAATGGCCTCAACCAGACTAAACTATTCCGACTGAGGTGTTTACATGGACGTATTCTATTCCGATTGAGCTATTAGTTGGATTATTAATAGATTATTAGGCTGCATAAAAATGTGGCTACTGTGTAGCAGGTTTATATTCACTATAAACCACAGTCTCCATATTCTGCACTCAGGCCATGAGTCAAGTTTCCAGCTCAGCCTCTCCTCCCCCATCGCTCTCTTCTATCTACATGGATAGTTTGCAGTGCTGTAAAATGTAAAAGAGATGGTTCAGTTGAATTTCCCGAGAGATGAAGAGAACAAAGGAGTCTTAGAGGACAGCGTAGTGATGGAGAGAGAGAGACGGTGGAGGAACGGGGTGATAAGCTCCTCAATAAGGAACTGTAGTAAGATGGACTTTGGCCAGGCACAAAGGAAGCACTGAGTCCATTCAGTCTCAGCAAACATATCTTTACTGACCGGGTCGTACTACAGCGTAGTATTAGCATATCAGGACTGCATGGCGCTCTACTGCAGCAACATGACACTGTCCAAATAGGCCTACATACAGTGAACTGGAACTGACCTTTAGACCACTGCTTTGGTCAGCTTCTGTCCTCTGAGCTGAGCTGTTCTTGAATGGACATTTTTGGGTGTTGGACCACTTTCAACCTAACAGTGACGCTGATGTAAAAACATGAAAACTAATGATACACATAACACAGTCCACACTACACACCTGAAAAGAAGGTTCTTCAAGGGTTCTTTAGTAGAGGCAATGGTTCTATATAGAACCATGTGTTATATCTACACATTTAAAAAAGATGGTTCTTCAAGGGTTCTGTAGTAAAGGCAATGTTTCTATATAGAACTATGAACACTCGAAGACCTCAAAGGGTTTCTGCACTGTGAAAGTGTTCTTCTGATTGATGGAGAATGTGCTGTAGGTGGTTCTATAGAGAACCCATTTGAAAAGGGTTTTATATAGCACCAAAAAGTGTTCTTCTACTGTTACAAAGTCAAGCTTATAACTTGACGAATAACTCTTTAATCATGCAAAAGGTTGTTTGAGTGTTCATGGTTCTATATAGAACCATTTTCTTTATTAAAGAACCCTTGAAAAACCATCTTTTCTAAGTGTGTAGAACCATTTGCATGCCTAAATGGTTCTATACATGGTGAAATTGTTTTTCAGATTGTTAGAGAATGTATTGCACAAGGTTCTATAAAGCACCAAAAGGGTTCTACTATAGTTATGATGTCAAACTTGTAACAGTAGAAGAACCCTTTTTGGTGCTATATAGAACCATTTTCATTTGGAGAATGTGCAGTAGATGGTTCTATATAGAACCTTTTTGAAAAGGGTTTATATAGCACCAAAAAGGTTCTTCTACTGTTACAAAGTCAAGCTTGTAACTTGATGATGCAGAGAACCCTTTTCATGATTAAAGAGTTCTCTGCATCGTGAAAGGTTCTTCAGATTGATGGAGAATGTGCTGTAGATCCATCCATCCATCATCTAAACCGCTTATCCTTCTGGGTCGCGGTGGGGTGCTGGAGCCTATCCCAGCTGTCATTGGGCAGAAGGCAGGATACACCCTGGACAGGTCGCCAGTCCATCGCAGTGCAGACAGACAGACATACACAATCACACACACACTCACACCTAGGGGCAATTAGCATGTCCAATCAGCCTGACTGCATGTCTTTGGACTGTGGGAGGAAACCGGAGTACCTGGAGGAAACCCACGCAGACACGGGGAGAACAGGCAAACTCCACACAGAAATGACCCTGGTCACCCGGTCGGGAATCAAACCCAGGCCCTTCTTGCTGTGAGGCGACAGCGTGCCGCCCGTGCTGTAGATGGTTCTTTAAAAAAAAAAAACCTTTTTAAAAAAGGTTCTGTTTAGGAGATAACACCCAAAGTTTTCCTTTTCAAAGGATTGTGAAAGAATTTTAAAATGGTTCCTTTTGAAAGAATTTTGCCTACAGTCATGATTTCCTCAGCACATCACTCCATCCCTCATTCTGTGAAATAAACTGGATTTTCATCATATCACTGTAATCTGTAGCTACTCAAAGTTGGATAAACTACATTACGATGGTTTAATCTCTTCTATCTCCCTTTATCAGCAGCTGTAGCGCTGTCTCCATTAATTCCAGCAGCAGGAGATGAGTCAACAGTAGAAAATTTGAGGTTGTGTAATCATCTCTGTTCATACATCACAAAACTCCAAATTCTGCAGTATTTGTGCATCAAAATCTAAAGTTTGTTTCTGATAAAGTGGCCAGTTAGTGGAAGCACAAGGTAGGTGTTTCTAATTTAGTGGCCAGTTAGTGGAAGCACAATGTATGTGTTTCTAATAAAGTGGCAATTAGTATACATATGGTTTTACATGTTCTACATAGTAAAAAGCCCTAGTAAAATGCCTTTTAATTATGTGAAGGTTCTTTAAACTTCACAAAGGTTCTTCACATTTGCACATCTCATTTATAAAAATGGCTAATTACAGAACCACTCATTGAATGGTTCTTTAGGGAACCATCGGTGGTTCTTCAATGACATTTCTACAAGGTAAGTGAATGTAATACACTGGACACTCAGTGAAGATATCGCCCTGAGTGCGAAGGGAAATTTGTAGATCTGTGTCATGATATTCAAATGAAGTGACAGGTAGTAAAACAGCAGTGTTATACTGAGCACTACTGAACGAGTGTCTCAATCAATCCATCTTTATTAGAGAGGAAAGAATGTGAAGAGAAAATAAAGGAAGGGAAATGAAGCTTATTCCAGCAAAAGTTCCACAAAGGAGAGATTACACACAGTAACTCAATACAACTGACCCAAACCGCTCTATAATTCTCTATTCACTCATTAAATTGGTCCTTTTATTCAAGTATAATGATGTTAATTGCTGGAAACAGTTCTAACTTATATCTTAGGATATATACTACTATATCTTAAAGTGACAATTAACATTAATTTTTCATAGTTACAAGAAATTATTACAGAATTTACTTAAAGATTCACAAGACAAATTAACACAAGTGAATGAACCTCAAGCGTGCACACACACACATATTTATCTAAGCCACTTATCCCAGCAGTCATTGGGCAGAAGGCAGGATGAATCTCAAGCAAACATTATGCAATATAAACTGGCATATTTTGAGCAGTTCAAGCAACCAAATCTCTCACAAGACTTTATAAAGTGTATATAAATATAGTTTATTATGTCAGTTACACATGTTCTATAACACATCTTATTCTTCAAATATTACTGCACTATAGCATTACATGGCACTGAACTTCATTTCTGAAAATTAATAAAGTAATTCAATCTGAAAATGAATTAATCAATCTTTATAAGAACCAATCAAATCAGATAAACACTACCCCTTAAAGTTTGGAATCACCAGTTTTTATTAAGATAAATTCTAAAGTTTTCAAATAATTAGCACAAAAACCTAAATAAAAATGAAGAAATGGGGTTAAAATAAAATGAATACCCAGAATGTATATTTGGTGATCAAACTTTTGAGGCAAATCAACAAATTTAACAAAAATGTATTGCAAATTGATGATTGATGATGTTCACGATATATTACTTAATCTGTTAATAACTTCTTTATAGTTTAGTTATATATAATATCAAAAATTTTAGCTGAAAATGTGATTCCAAATTGTTAAACAGTGGTGTATAGCTTTAAGCTAAAAAGTGCTGCATTTAATTTACTTAATTCAATTGTGTACATCATTTCAACACAAATAAACACTATTTTGTCTTTGAGATTACTTACTTAAGTAAGTAGTAATTGTGTTTCTGACCAATAACATTTTGTATCTCCAAAACCTTATAGAAGTTTCAATGTATGTCAATGTAATGGGTTTAATTAAAGTACTTTTTTGACCACTTCTATTGGTCCATATATCATTAAATTCTCACACAATGTAAAGGACAGCGGCTGCACTCATACTGTGTATTAAAATAAAAATTGAAAAAAAAAATTGAGTTTTGTTATTTTGATTATCTCCAAATTATTTCCTGTGCTTCATATTAATATTTTGATTATATGAACTTTTTTGACCACTTCTATCGGTCCATTCATCATGAAATTTTCACAAAATGTAGGGGACATTTTGTGTAGAAAAATAAAAAATGAAGAAAAAAACAACTTTGTTTTATTTTGATTATATTCAAATTATATCCATTGCCTCATGTTCATTTTTTTTTATTATATTAACTTTTTTGACCACTTCTATCGGTCTGTTCATCATGAAATTTTCATAAAATGTAAAGGACAGTGGTTCCACTCATACTGTGTAGAAAAATAAAAATTTAAATAAAAATTGAGCTCTGTTATTTTGATTATATCCAATGTTTTATATTCATATTTTGATTATATGAACTTTTTTGACCACTTCTATTGGTCCATTCATCATGAAATTTTCAAACAATGTAAAGGACAGTGGCTGCGCTCATTCTGTGTAGAAAAATAAAAAATGAAATAAAAAGAGCTTTGTATTATTTTGATTATATGTAATAATGTACGCATTTGAATCGAGCAAATTCAGCACAGGTTTTATGGCGTCATGATGGCATTATTGGGCACACAGTCTTCGTAGAAGATCTGAAACTTCTTGTCCACGAAGGTGTTCTGCTTGAGGAAGTTTTCCAGCTCCTGGACGGAGATCTCGTACACCTCCGAGCCCCTTTTGGCATTCAGTGCGCGAGAGGCAAAAGCAGGAAACTTGGATCTCTCCTCGAACGGGGCGTTGTGGTCGTAGTCGATGCAGCAGTAGGCCGACCACAGGAAGGTGGGGACAGCCAGCCGATCGATGTTGTGCCTGCGGATCATATGGCCGGACGTGGTGACTCCGGTCACTACGTAGGCCGTGCCGCGGCAGTAGTTGTTGAGGCGGCGGCGAATGGTGTGCTCGTGCTGCTTCCACAGGCCGATGTTGAACTCGCGGATCTGTGGCACCACGTTGGTGAGCGTGTAAGTGGACGCTTTGTCGTCCGGGTGAGACTGGTGCTCGTCGGGGTTCAGGTGGCCTCTCTCGAAGTCCACCGTGTTGGAGTAGTCCTCTAGCACCGCCTGGGCATCCTCAAAGCTTTTGTGCAGATTGTCTGGAGGAAACGGCTGCATTTCGCCAGAGCCCGTCTCTGTGGAGAGCTTTAATATAAAAAAAAACAAAAAAAACATGAGCATTAGGCTTATTATTCAGTCCTAGAGGGCACATGTTATAGAAAAGAGTGGGATCCACTATGGAACACGTTTCAATGTGTAACACTCACTCTCCAGTCAGTACAGTCCATATATGGGAACTATGCAGCAAAAACAGCCTGTTTTGAATTTGCTGCTTTTGTGATGTCACAAAAAACAACTCATATACAAGCGTCCACCAATGCAGCTTATTGCAGTTAAGCTCCACCCAAAGTGCTTTTAGAATGAGGCACAATACAGAGCAACCAATTAGAACTGAGTGCATTTCTGTAAGTCAAAGCATGCATCGCTGTTGTTGGAACAAAACCTCAAATTTCCAAAACTTTACAGGAGAAGGAAAAAACCTACTTTACTTTTAATGTAAGTCAATGGAACCAGACGTTTACCAAGTCATTTTGGGTCATTTCTGTTGGTCCATTCATCATGAAATTTACACACAATGTAAAGAGCAGCAGGCATTTTCAAACTATGTCAAAAACTGAAAAATGGAGATATGAGGTTTCATTCCAAAAGCTAACATATGGCTGTCCAAAGGAAACCATGTATCTCCATTTTCATCGATGTAGCCAGCTGTCCTTTACATTGTGTGAAACATTTCAAGATGAATGGACCAACAGAAATACTCTAAAATCACTTGGAATGAAATCTCTTTACATTGACTTACATTGAAAGGTAAGAGTGTTTTTGCCTTCTCCTGTAAAGTTACTATTTTGGAGATATTTGTTCTTCTTTAGACAGCGATGATATACGTAAATATCAAAATAATACAAAAAATAATACAACTATTATACTGAGGCTCAGTTTCCCGGACAGGTAATTAAGATGCAGGGTGTCATGAGGCAAATGAGTCCCCAAAAGAAAACTTATTTTCATATTTCCCACTATTTACCCATCTCCGAAAGACCCCTGTAGGCTCACTGGTCGTTTCTGGATAGGAAATAAAATGTCTATATTTGTGTTGTAGTCATGGCGACCCCTGGTTCCTATCACCACCACTGTAAAGACATCTGAACCATTTCACACCAAACCACTCTGAATCTCTCTGTTTGCTTTTCTTACTATATAATTATGTAGGGAATTAGGAGAAATTGGTGGACCCCTTTAAGAGCAGCACTATTTAGCCCAAAATGCCAGTGCATTTTAGCACTGTCAGTGTTAATGGTCCAGCTATCATATGGACTATTACAACTAGGGGTGGGCAATATGATGATATTTTATCATTATCGTGAAAAATTATGTCACAGTATCCTTTTAGAGCACATTGTGGATATTGTCAGTACCTAAAGAACCCTGACTAACTATGTTCCATTACAAAGTGAGCATAATCAGGCCTGTTTAATTGGATTTAGTGCAGTGTAGTATGTAAAACACTGAATAAAAATCATTTTAGTTGTAGGTTACTTATTATTTTCATTATTATGATATTTTATATGTTACACTACAGGTTCTATTTTGTCTGTTAGCACTTATTAAATCTCAGAAACACTTAATATTGTGATGTATATCATGTATCGTGAAAATGTATTGAAATATTGTGATATAATATTTTTTGCCATATCTTCCACCCCTCATTACGACTGACAGTGCATTGCTGAATAACATGGGTCCTAAACAGAGGCCTCAGAAGAGCCGGAACCCACACTCAAGTAAAAGTATCATTACTGTTGATCAATGCACTCTCAAAAACATGGTTCTTCAAGGGTTCTTTGGTAAAGGGAAAAGTTCTGTTTAGAACCATGAGTTCTATATAGAACCATTTCATGCTTAAATGGCTCTTTGCATAGTGAAAGAGTTCTTTAGTTTGATGGAGAATGTGTTGCATATGGTTCTCTATAGAACCTTTTTGAAAGGGGGTTCTACATAGCACCAAAAAGGGTTTCGTATTTGTTACAATGTTAAGCTTGCATACAATAGAAGGACCCTTTTTGGTGCTATATACACTCCTAAAAAAAGATGGTTCAGCAAGGGTTCTATAGAAAAGACAATGGTTCATATAGAACCATGAACATATGCTTAAATGGTTCTCTGCATGGTGAAATTGTTCTTCAGATTGATGGAGAATGTGTTGTATATGGTTCTATATATCACCAAAAAGGGTTCTGCTATTGTTATGATGTCAAGCTTGTTACGATAGAAGAACCCTTTTTTGGTGCTAAATACACTCTTACAAAAGACGGTTCTTCAAGGGTTCTATAGAAAAGACAATGGTTCATATAGAACCATGAACACATGCTTAAATCGTTCTTTGCATGGTGAAATGGTTCTTCAGATTGATGGAGAATGTGCAGTAGATGGTTCTATATAGCACCTATTTGAAAAGGGTTCTATATAGCGCCAAAAAGCGATCTTCTATTGTTACAATGTCAAGCTTATATCAGTAGAAGATCCCTTTTTTGGTGCTATATAGAACCATTTTCAAAATAGTTTTATATAGAAACATCTATAGCACATTCTCCATCAATCTGAAGAACACTTTCATGACACAAAGAATCTCTTAATCATGCAAAGGGTTCTTTGAGTGTTCATGGTTCCATATAGAACCATTTTCTATACTAAATGGCCCTTAAAGAACCGTTTTAATTGTAAAGAAATCATTTTAAGTGTGTATATGGTTTTAAATAGCACCAAAAAGGGTTCTGCTATTGTTGGAAGCTTGACAACGTAACAATAGCAAAATCCTTTTTGGCAATGTGTAGAACCACATTCAAAAAAGTTCTACACAGAACTAAATACAACACATTCTCCATCAATCTGAAGAACACCATGCAAAGAACCATTTAAGCATGGAATGGTTCTATTTAGAACTCATTGTTCTAAACAGAACCATTCCCTTTATTGAAGAACCCTAGAAGTACCAGCTTTTTGAGAAGGTGGTGAATATCACTGATGCGGCGGCTCTTTCAGGGACTCACTGACCTGTGGCTCATACATCCACGGCACGTCCACTTTCTTGGAGCCGTCTGACCTCTTGAAGGTGTAGGCGGAGTAGACGGGGATGTGGTCCACCACGTCGTACAGAGTCACGTACCGAGGCTTGCCGTTGTAGCGCTGGCAGATCTTCTTCAGGCCGTGGTCCTCCAGCCCCCTCGGGGGGAGTCCCCATGTACATGAACAGGCGGCACTCCGGGGAAAAGTCCGCCTGCACCTCAGCGCGCGCCGCCGCCGCCAGCAAGAGGCAAGCGAGCGCCTGCAGGAGAAGCGCGCACGCGGCCATCACATGCACCCAGAAACGCGCTGCAGAGCGAGGCGACAAATGCCTGCTTGTGCAGTAACCGGCCCGTCATAGTTCGCCCTCTCCCACTTTCTCCGGAACGATAAGCAAATAAGCACAGAGCCAGGCTTTGGTGCAGAAGATGTCATGTCATACTGACCGCCAGGTGGCGCCAAATACGCAGTTACACTTTCAAAAGGCCTAAAGTGGCGTTCCAATAAGCGCAGTTCCCTTCTACAACACTTGATTGGTGCGCACTCGTGTTATATGCACTATCTAGGCGCTCTAGGATACAAGTGTGCACCAACTAAACATGCTACGTGCAAGCTCAACATTCTAGAGTGCAAGCGTGATAAGCACTAGCACAGCCTTGACTAGAATACAAGTGTGCACCAACATGCTACATGCAAGCTCAAGCATTCCAGAATGCTTAGCTGTTGTTCTGTAATTATTTCTGGCATGTAAGTGTGTTCTAGAGTGCTTAGCTAGTGCATTTTTGTGTTCTAGAATGCAAGTGTGCACTAGCTAAGCTTTACACGCTAGAAAGAATTCTAGAACACTAGCTAAGTATTCCAGAACACAGGTGCACCTGTGTTCCAGAAGGCTTGGCTAGTGCACACTTGCATTCTAGAAGGTTGAGCTTGTAACATATGTGATTGCGTTCTAGCGTGTGTAGTTGCTGCACGTTTGTATTCTAGAGTGCCTAGCTAGTGTACCTGTGTTCTAGAATGCTTAGCTAGTGCACACTTGCATTCTATAAAGTTGAGCTTGTAACTTATGTGCTTGTGTTCTAGAGTGTTTAGTTGCTGCACGTTTGTATTCTAGAGTGCCTAGCTAGTGTACCTGTGTTCTAGAATGCTTAGCTAGTGCACACTTGCATTCTAGAATGTTGAGCTTGTACCGTATGTGCTTGTGTTCTAGTGTTTAGTTGCTGCACGTTTGTATTCTAGAGTGCCTAGCTAGTGTACCTGTGTTCTAGAATGCTTAGCTAGTGCACACTTGCATTCTATAAAGTTGAGCTCGTAACTTATGTGCTTGTGTTCTAGAGTGTTTAGTTTGTGCACACTTGTGAAAGTGCCCTAGCTAGTGTACGAGGGTGCAGGACGCAAGTGCGCCTATGGGAACACAGCCAACTGAAGAACGAGGATTCGAGCGAAAGTGCCGCCTCATTGGACAAACCTGCGTCACGTGGTTCACGTTGAACAGCCATTTTTTTAAAACACAAACAACAAGAGGAGTGAAGAGACGAATTCACGGCGAGTTCAGCGACTCAGAAAACAAACAAACAAACAAAACAATCAATCAGTTCGGTATAGCGCGGACACGGAACAGGTGCAGAGGACACGCACGGACAGGTCGTATTTGTTTGTTACCGCGAGGCGTCCGCGTGCAGACGGAGGAACACCGTAGAGCGGAGAGTCGAGCTGGAGAGAAAATTAGCTGGCTAGCTAGCCTGCTAATGCTAGCTAGCTAGCAGGCAGAGGATCTTTCTTTGCAGATTTTTGCTTATATAAGTAAAGAAATAAAGTAAAGGTAAGGTTGCGTTTCGTTATAACGTGTTAGTAAGTGATGTTTTGTATGTCTCGGTCCTCTGTTGTTGCGAAAGCGCCGTGCAGCGTCTCTCAGTCGGAAGGCCTCGACTGAATCCCCGAGATAAATTTTGGAGAACGGCCGCTTTAGAGCGAGCGGAACGCGGCTGCTGTGCGCTGTGTTTTTTGTCATTCATCCCCCCCCCGTTTGTCGCCATTGTGTGCTATTAAAAACACGTCTAGAGTGCTTTTTGAGGTTTGTAAACTACTATATTTCTGCTAATTAAAAGAAAATTTACCGATTTTTCAACATATTTGCATAATTCGGTGTGTGAGATGTAAACAGAGTGATTCAGAGTGGTTTGGTGTGAAATGGTTCAGATGTCTTTTCAGTGGTGGTGATAGGAACCAGGGGTCGCCATGATGACAAATATAGACATTTTATTTACTATCCAGAACCACCAGTGAACCAACACGAGTCTTCTGAGTTTATATGGAATGTTGATGATGGAAAATAGTGTGAAAATCTGAAATAATAAGTTTTCTTTGGGGACTATTTTGCCTCACAACACCCTGCATATGTATTCCTCCATCATGAATGAATTTTAAGATCTCAAAACTATCATAAAACAGTGTCTCAGTCATGAGGCAGTGAATTCATAACCATTTCATGTAGTAACTTTCTGTGAGGGAGCTTTTAGAGGTGGACGTCTGGTTCCTATCACCACCACTGTGAACGGCTCTGACTCGGTAAGTTTCTCTAGAGTAGAGTTTTTCACACCAAACCACTCTGAATGACACTGTTTACATCTTAAGAGTTTAGTTTTCACCACAAATTAAAAGAGGTGAATCGAGTTTTCACCACTGTGTCGAATTTATCTCACAGTTTATCAACCTAAAGAACCTGAGAGAAAGGTCAGGCTACAGGCTAAGCTAATGCTAGCTTTAAAGTTAAAGGGGAACCCCTCCGAATTTCCAAAATTTCTATTTAATTAAATGGTTAAGATGTAAACAGAGTCGTTCAGAGTGGTTTGGTGTGAAACGCTCTGTTCTAGATAAACTTACCGAGTCAGAGCCGTTTGCAGTGATGGTGATAGGAACCAGACGTCCCCCTCTAAAAGCTCCCTCACAGAAAGCTATTACAGGAAATGGTTATGAATTCACTGCCTGATGACTGAGACGCTGTTTTATGACAGTTTTGCCATAAGTTTTTTGGCTTAACGTGTACTTTAGTCTGTTCATGGTGGAGGGGTACATACAGGGCTTAGAATGGCAAAGTAATTTTTGCCAGTCATCATTCTGTCATTGTTAACAAGTAAACACTGGTTCATTGTTTTTTTTGGATAATAGATATGTATATACCGAATGACAACCACTCTGAATAGGGCTGAAAGAGAAATCCATTTTTTTATCGAAAATGCAATTTAACAGTGGAATTTTTTAAAACCACAGGAGCTGCAGTTTTTTTTTAATTGAAGTCTACATTATCAGAAACGCTGTCTTTTTAAAAGGGTTTTAAATGGGGAAATTTAACCTTATAACACAGACTTTGTGAACTGCCTGTAGATAAGTTAGGCCAATTAGATCCAACCAAACCCCTGGGTGTTGTGACATCATAACCACACCATAACTCACACACTACATTCAAGGTTGAAGCCTCAAGCCAGAAAAGGTTTAAATTGTGCTCTTGATGGCAAAAAAAACAGGTCGGAATCTTAATTTGTAGAATATAAAAGCAGTTTAACTTGCAGTGGCAATATTAGTTAGAAGAATTGCGATTGGATGTTTTACCCAAATCATTCAGCCCTAACTCGGAATGACTTTGTTTGCATCCAAACCATTTAACTGAGCTGAAGTTGTGAAAAATCGGCAGAATTCACCTTTAATTTATGGGCAAGGCAGGTACATTTCGTACACTGCGATCAATCAAAAATTGCTTCACATAGGAGAAAATATAGACATAATTCTTGAGCTGAAAGCAGCTCAAATAGGAACGTTTTCAGGCTGATTTAAAGTGTCCAGTGTTGGGGCTCTTCTAATGCTCTCTGTTAACTGGTTCCATTTAAGAGCAGCATAGTAGCCAAACGCTGCTTCTCTATGTTTAGTCTTCACCTTCGGCAGGACTAACCAACTAGTCCCTAATGATCTGAGAGTTCAGCTCGGCTCGCATCGCTGCAGCAGATCAGATAAATATGCTGCTCCTGCACCATTAAGACATTTATAAACCAGTAATAGCACCTTGAAGTGTATTCTGTAACAGACTGGTAGCCAGTATAAGAATACGTATGCAAAAATGTATAATGCAATTCATCTACGTGGATATTTCCTGCATTATCTCGCCACGTCAGTGCTGGTTGTTCACTCCCCACCACTCTTTCTGTTTGTCGTCCTGCAGGTGACAGGAATGCTGAAGGTGTGTCTGTGAAGGGTCAGCCGAAAAACGAGCAAGAGAACAAGAACTGGGGGAGAGCTTTGAGAGAAACTCCCAGCAATAGTACAGCGGAACTGCTCTGAAACACTTGCTCTTATCAATGCTGCCGCAGTTTACTTGCAAAGTATAGTTACATTTCTGAAATACTATTTCGTTTATATTTTTAAAAGTAAGAGCAGTTTGGGTGGCGTTCCCCTTTCTGAAGGTGATTGCATTAGTCTCGATATTCCTCCACCCCTCTCTGCTGTTCCCCCCTGAATTTGGCAGCTATTAATCCACTCATATAGAGCTCTAACCAAGCCCACCTCAGCACACTGATACAGCACCACTGCGTCAGCTTCCCCAGTCATCCTGTTCCTGTTCAGTCCTAGCGTTTGGACAAGGTAAGAAAAGAAACGTTGGAGTAATAACCTGCTGGTGTGAATATAAAGTCTGAAGAAGTTCAGATCATATAAAACTGTTTCTCTAATCCATACAGTCCATTAATGTAAACTAATCTCTGAACAGCCCGTTTTGAATTAGTTGTTTCGGTGGTGTCGGAAATTAGAATGTATTTACATACATCCGCCAATTCTCTCACTCTTAAAGGGCCCATATCCTGAGAAACTGACTTGTGTTTTAAAATAAAGGAGTTTGAAATAATTACATACTTGTTCAGGTTTCAAAACATACTATTAACTATTGTACATTCACCGATCAGGCATAACATTCTGACCACCTCCTTGTTTCTGCGCTCATTGTCCATTTTATCAGCTCCACTTACTGTATAGGTGCACTTTGTAGTTCTACAGTTACAGACTGTAGTCCATCTGTTTCTCTGATACTTTGTTAGCCCACTTTTACCCTGTTCTTCAGTGGTCAGGACCCCCATGGACCCTCACAGAGCAGGTACTATTTGGGTGGTGGATCATTCTCAGCACTGCAGTGACACTGACGTGGTGGTGGTGTGTTAGTGTGTGTTGTGCTGGTCTGAGTGCTGGAGCTAAACACCTCAGGGTCACTGCTGGACTGAGAATAGTCCACCAACCAAAAATATCCAGCCAACAGCGTCCTGTGACCACTGATGAAGGACTAGAGGATGACCAACACAAACTGTGCAGCAGCAGATGAGCTATCGGCTCTGACTTTACATCTACAAGGTGGACTGACAAGGTAGGAGTGTCTAATAGAGTGGACAGTGAGTGGACACAGTGTTTAAAAACTCCAGCAGCACTGCTGTGTCTCATCCACTCAGACCAGCACAACACACACTAACACACCACCACCACGTCAGTGTCACTGCAGTGCTGAGAATGATCCACCACCCAAATAGTACCTGCTCTGTGAGGGTCCATGGGGGTCCTGACCACTGAAGAACAGGGTAAAAGTGGGCTAACAAAGTATCAGAGAAACAGATGGACTACAGTCTGTAACTGTAGAACTACAAAGTGCACCTATATAGTAAGTGGAGCTGATAAAATGGACAATGAGTATAGAAACAAGGAGGCCATTATGCCTGATCAGTGTATATGTGCACAAATGTTCCAAATGGACAAAAATTAAAATGTGAAAACGTAAACTTTGAGCATTGAAGGGTTTGTTTTGCTCTTTGCAGGAAGTCGGCTATATTTGTAATACAGATGAATCCACTTCTGCTTTTGTTATGTGCCGTATGCTCAGTTGTGCTGCAGATTTGTTTGTCAGGATGTGGCTTTAGGCCATAGTTTCACTTAAATTTGTTTTATGTCAACAGAAACCTTTTGAGCCTGTTGGACGTGGAGAATATGACTGCTGAGACGCTCAACTTCGGTCCAGAATGGTAACTTTTTTTCCTAAAAAAACATCCCTTTCTTTATTCTTCTACAGCTTTCTCCACCATGTTTCTCGCTTCTTGCTCAAGTGTTCGATAATATTTTTGTGCGTGTGCTTCACTTCCCCATCGTAAGTGTCTAAATGAGGAAGCAGATGTTTCCTGATGTTCAGCATTTTGATTTAAAGAGAACTGATTGATTTCCCAATGACACAGAGAGGGTGAAGAGTGCAGGGGGAGGGTGATCGTTGTTTGTATAGCAACTTTTCTATTAGTTGCACTGTGTAAATGTGCTTTATGCGTGAGGAGACGAGTTGTGCGAAAAAGCTTGAGCACCCTGGTCAAATTATGTTTCGCTTGAATGATTTTCTAAATGAGAAATATTAGAGAACACGCTTCTGCACATTTTAATGTGCAGTTCCTCTTTATATACTGGGTTTAATATATCTAGGGAAAAATAAAACATAACGTGTGCGAAAGTCGTATTGTGTGTTCTTTTAGCAAATAAATAGAAATTGTTCACTTAAAATTAAAAGAAAAATGTCATAGTTAAGGTGCCTATACAGGTAGTGTTAACTTATTTTGAATCAGAAAACCAGCAAGACAGTGTAAATTGATGGGGTATTTTAGCTGATCCGACTGTATGGGGTGAGCAATACTACAAAAATATCATATTAAGCTATTTTTTAATTGGATATTATTTTTTTTGTTTGGTTAGAGTTCTTTATGCACTTAAGACATCCATAGTGTGCTCAGGAGAGAATATGGTTTATCGCATGAACAGCTTCCCACAATAGCAATAAAATATCATAATAGTACCCACAAAAATAACAAACATTCGTAATAAATATATGGTAGGATATAATACGTATAAATAAAGTAAGTATATGTCAAATACAAACATTAACTTACGTATTACTGCTGTTGAACAAAACCTTGTATCTCTAAAATGATGACAGGAGAACGAAAAAACGTGACGTTAGTCAATGGAACCAGCTCTTTTTTCCAAGAAATTTTGGGCCATTTCTTTTGGACCATTCGTTATTAAATTAACACCCTACGTAAAGAGAAACAAGCATTTTCGATTTTTCAAAAAGTGGAAAACGACAAAAATAAAGATAAAAGGTTTCGTTCCAACAGCAGCAATTTAAGTACTAAGTTTATAATAAGATATAATAAATGTCTTTGTTCACGAGAAGCATAATTCTTGCATTTACGACAGTAAGTAAAAAGCTTCGGTTGAAATTAAATAATACAGTTTCATAAAAGTAACCATGAAAGAACCGTGTTTGTAATCTGGAGTTAAGAGTACTTGGCGAAACCTGATGATGGCGAAGATAACTCTGATTTTGTGTCCTCTCTCAGGCTCCGTGCACTATCCAGAGGAGGGAGCATCACGTCCCCTCCTCCTTCCCCAGCAATGCCAAAGTCCAAGCTGGCCGACTACCGCTATGGCCGCGAGGAGATGTTAGCACTTTATATTAAAGATAATAAGGTGAGAGGCGACACTTCGTCGACAGAGACAAGCAGGGTAGCGCTGTCCTGCTGCCTGTGCTTTATGTGCTGTCCATTCACTCTGTATTGGTGTGTTTAGGTCCCAGAGGACATGCAGGATAAGGAGTTTGCTGCTATCCTGCAGGACGAGCCTCAGCAGCCCCTGGCCTTAGTGCCGCTGACGGAGGAGGAGCAGGTGAGTTTTTTGGTTTGATCGACACCACTGTGAAACCAGGAAGTCGAACAGTATGACAGTATTTTAATAATATCATGGTTAAATTGTACCAGTAAACTCTTTTAAGCATATCGTGGACATATTGTGTGTGCTTATTTACATAAAGAGCTAAATTAGGCTTGTTTAACCAGCTTTACTGTAGAGCACCGTATGAAAGTGTTCAGTGTAGTGTTTTAATATTTTTTATATTGTTAAAGTGTTCATTTTAAAGCTGTTATTTGCTGCTACTGATATTATAAAGATATCATTGTGCATCCTTAATATCTTTGGACCACCCTGTATGAATTAGAAAGATCAAACACTCAGGGTAAAAAAACAGGAGGTAATAGGTAAACAGGAGTGGACAGCGTTGAGATATAGTGGAAGCTGCACCGTGCATTATTCAACTCGCTGTTCTCAGGTGAACCAGAGACCACGCCCAGCTTTCACACTTAAACAGGCATGCCAAACATCAAAAAAAAACAAAAAAAAACAAGTGTGTAAACGTTATAAGGTACTCCTTTATTAGTCCCACAACTGGGGAAACTCACAATGTTACAGCAGCAAAGGGAAAGTAAGGCACTCAAGAAAAAGAATTATCAAGAAAAGAGTTAACAAACAAGGTATTAAACCTAGTTATTACTTAACGAGGTTACAGTATGGTACTTATTACTTTGTACATATATATCGCTGTTTTTGGAAGAAGACCATCTCCACATTTGACGTTTTTTAGTTTTTGACATCGACATTGTCCTTTACATTGTGTGTAAATTTAATGAGGAATGAAATGACCCAAAATTACTTTGAAAAAAGTCTGGTTCCATTGACTTACATTTAAAGTAAAGTATGTTTTTTCCTTCTCCTGTAACGTTTCCATTTTGGAGATATGTGGTTTTCTTCTGACAACAGCAAATATACGTAATACTAGAATAAATAATAATAATATAAAAATTCAAAGTAAAATTCCATTCTTCATAAAATTAACAATATAAACATTGTTATTAAGTGTATAATAGGGTGTAATAAACATGTCATGTATAAATAAATATATATTTAATATAAAGATGTATTTTACATATCAGTTCTGTCAGAACAAAACCTCATGTCTCCAAAATACTTTACTTTTAATGTTAGTCAATGAAGCCAGACGTTTTCCAAGTAAATTTGGGCAGTTTATTTTGATCCATTCAGCATTAAATTAACACACAATGTAAAGAGAAACAAGCATTTTCATTTTATGTCAGAAAGTGAAAAACAACAAAAACGGGGATATGAGGTTTTGTTCAGACAGCAGGAATTTACATATAAAGTTTATAATAAAATATAATAAACATCTTTATGAGAAGCATAATTCCTGCATGGTCTAATGATTACAGATATCATCCACAGCAGTGGTCTGCCTTCCTCTGGAGTCTAGTTCCAACCACAGTCTACAGTCTATTCAGCTACTTCACTTCTTCCGAAGTCTGTGATTCGCTGAATTGTGTCTGTTAGTGTTATGTAAGCGTGTCAGATGCAGGTTGGAACTAAACTCTGCGTGAAAGTAGATCTACAGGAGGAGGGTTGATGGCCTCTGCTCTGCTGCTTATGTTGGTGTATGTTGCTCTCAGTCAAGTGGTCTGTGACCCCTTTTCTGTCCACAGAGGAACTTCTCCATGTCTGTGAACAGTGTGGCTGTGCTGAGGCTCATGGGTAAAGGAAGCGGGGCAGCTCCGGCCGGCGTGTCCCGAGGCCGTGGAAGCACCCGAGGAGGGCGAGGTGAGTCTTTCTCTCACGCAGACATACAGGTACCTGAACAAACTGCTGTAAGGATGTGTTAAGACACGTTTCCATGTTTTTTTTTGACTGCAGGGAGAGGACGAGGCGAGGGAGGGTTCTACCAAAGAGGCGTGGACGAGGAGCTGGGCTTTGGCCGCAGCCGAGAAATGCACCGCAGCCAAAGCTGGGACGACAGGTTTGTGACAGGAGCTTTACTAAGCGTTTGATGGCTGCAACCAACAATTGTTATTGAAGTTAAAGCAGCACTATGTAAGATTTGTTGAAATTGAAAGAAGTATCATTACTGAGTGAAGAGAATATAAACAGGCTAAAATATGGTGAGTGAGCGCCGCTGTGAGTCGCCCTGTAAAACCTGAAATAATCATGTAAAAGTCTGAGGCGTCGGGTCGGGAGTTTTTTCACCACGTTGTTTGTCGTTATGTATTAACGTCACATACGCAGGCTCAAAAAGAAGATCTGGCTCGATGTTCAGGTCTAAAGTAGATATGTTGGCAATAATTGATAATTCACTCGCATGCTTGGAAGACACGTCCTTCACCAAGTTCTGACTTTGAATTAATTTGCTCTCCAAATCTCCAAAACGTACATATATGTACTTTAGATGTTATTCAGTTTGTTGATCAATTAAATCTGTTTTCTGTGGTTTCCATTCACTTTGCTGTCACAGCGCTGCCACCATTTATAGTTCTACCTGTGCAGCAAACGTTTTCTTATTTAATGATTAAACAAAACACTGGAACCTGTGGCTGAAGGATCAATTGTTGGTTACATCAGAATTGCAATTTGAAAGAGCAGTTTTCAAATCGCAAGAGCTGGGATTTTATTTATATTCTATATATTGTCATTGTCCAAAAGAAACCAAGTATCTTCATTTTTTTTTTTAGATTTTTCTGGCATTATTTAAACACAGAAGTCTCTGTTTACATTGTGTGAGAATTTCATAATGAATTGATAGAAATGCTCAAATTATTTAGAATAAAACAGCCTTATGGTAACTGGTAAGAAAAGGTTTTTTTGTTTTCTTCTCGAATAACTTAACATTTTTTTTGTCAGAAAAAACACAATTAGATATTTTCCTTAAACTTTCAGCCCTAGTAGAAGCCATCATAACGTAACTGCAGTCTCTACAAATAATATTTAAAATTAACCTAGAGCCATTATAGAGCTCTTTGTAGTTTTGAGTAACAGCTATTTAAATTAACGGCTGCCTCACTATATCAGGTAATTGTTGCAGCCCAAATGTTTACTGTAGTTATTGGAGATGCCACAGTTTTGCATTGATGGCTCTTTGTGTACTCTAAACAAGGATTTTGAGAAAATGGATTGTTGCCCTGTTTTGTGAATGTTTGTATGACTTGTGTGCTGTGTTTCAGGGGCGAGCGGCGCTTCGAGAAGCCCCTGCGGCGGGACGGGGTGCGTGGCGGGTTCGAGGACGGAGGCATAGGCAGGAAGGACTACACTCGCTCCGACAGCGATAACTGGCGCACCCTCCGTGAGGAGCAAGAGGAAGATGGGGGAGAGCCGGGGGGCAGCTGGAGGGTGGCAGGCGCCCGCCGCGACGGTACAAACACATGCACACAGAGTTATAGGCTAAGAAGGTAGATTATGTGTATTATAGAGAATTTACTTCTATGATGGTTGCTTCTAAAACCTAAAACGAGAGTCTTTGGGTTTCCTTGGATGACATGTGTGTGAATGTTTTTGATTTTGGTAAATATTCATGTTTATTTATGTAGCGCCTTTCATACACTGCTGTCATTCAAAGTACCTCACTAATGAGAACAGAGTCAGAAAATACAGAGTTGTTTACAAAAAATGAAATAAATGAGAATAGAAATTAAAAACACAGTTAAAACATGATTAAACAATAGATTTAAAAGAAAAAAAATCATTGCGCTGAGATCAAATTAGAAATTAGGATAGTTAAAAACATCAAGTTAAAAGTTAGATTAGGATTAAAAAAATATACAAAAAGGAATAAAAACAGGCTAAAATGTGGTGAGCAGGTGCTGCTGTGAGTCGCCCTACAAAACCTGAAATAATCATTTAAAAGTCAAAGGCGTCAGGTCTGGAGTTTTTCACACCTGTCGTACGTCTTTACGTGTTAACGTCACACACAGGCTCAAAAAGAAGATTCGGCTCGATGTTTAGGTCTAAAATAGATGTGATGACAGTAGTAGATAATTCACTCACATCTTCGGAAATTTATTTGGTCTCTCAATCTCCAAGAAAGTTTGCTTGCTAATGTTATATCGCTGTTTCTCGGGAGGTTTGCAGTAAACACGGACAGCATGTAAAGTAGGGAAAAATATTGTTTATTTGGAGGCACACCAGACAGAAAATCAGCACCACTTGCACAATAGCTCTAAATTAAAATTAAGAATATTGGATCTAACTTGAGGCCAAAATACAGAATCTAACACTAACGTCTGCACTTGTGGTTTTAACATTGCTTTCTTATTGATTGGAAAATGACGGATATCTCAAGCATTTAATTAGTATTTAACTGTTTGAGTTTGTGTAATGAATTGAGGTCTTAAGTGTGCATATTGTTTTATTTCTTCGTGCTTGATATTTTAATTCTGCCCTGTAAGACGGGGGTCCCCGATCTGCCGGCTGGCGAGACCACGGAAGCGGAGAAGGCCGGAGAAGGAAGTTTGACTTTGACTTCCGGGATGGAGATGTCAGCCGGCGGAGGTCTGGAAGCGATGGAGGAGAGGAGGACCGAGACGGGCTGCCCGAGTGGTGCACTGATGAGGAGGAGGGAGAGATGGGCACCTTCGACTCCACGGGGGCTTTCATGTGTGTCAAGGTGGGTCAAGACAACTCACTTTTCTTCTTTTTTTCAGTTTCAGCTGGCTGAGCTCTCTCACCACAGTCATTAGCTCGAAGAAGGAAACTGACTTTAGGCTGGTTTTCCACAGTGAAACTAACACGCAACTAGTTGAACTTTTCAACCACACAGTAAACCATCTTCTCTTTCATTTTCTTTTACACTGGTCCGGTGAAATCAGTGGTTCGATGTTATGTCTGTCAACATGATCACATGATATGTTATTAGTGTTTGTTTGCTGAAACTTGAAGCTGAGATGCTTGCAGCTGTTGCGGCCGAGTTTCAAATGACATGCAGGATCCTTTACATTATGCAACTCAAGTGCAATTTAGTTTCAAGTCAGTTTTAAGCAACTAAAGTTGCATGAAAATTTCATTGAGTAAAGCCAGCCTTAGCTAACATGACCTAAAGAAATTGTAGCTACGTCCCAGGTTGAAGTGGCACAAATCTGATTTTTTGCCCTAATGTGACTCAGATCTGATGTTTTCAGAGTTGTGTGAACATGTAAATCTGATCTTTACAAATCCGACCTGAGTCACTTTCATATGTGGTCCTTTTCCACTGCGCTGCGCCATCATTCAGCGTTACCATGACAGCAGCGCCAAACAGAAGTCAAAGCCTGTAAACGGTGGAAAAGCAGCTCATGTCACCTTTTTCTCCTTCGTCTCGCTCTAATAATGAAGCTGAGAGCTGATCAGAGTTAATTATCTTCTCAGCGAAGCTCGTTCTGCTCGTTAGTTTGTGCTGATGATGCTCGTGATTCATTCACGTGACGTTACTGAGTAGGATGAGCTCATGAGGGTCATTTCAGGACGCCGGTTCGTCACATTAATGACAGATTTGAGTCACTTACCTAAACGAGTGTGAACCATCGTGTCAGAGAGATCGGATTTGAGCAAAAAATCGGATTTGAGAAATGAGGCTTGTAATGTGAGTGTAGCTTATGATTTAAGTGTTAAGCAGTGACCTTAGCTTATGGTGAAGTCATTGTATGTGGATTAAATTTAATGTTACTATACCCATGTGATTCTGATGCCTTTTCCGTGTACTTTAGAAGTCATCAAGAGACGCGATCCCTGAAGACCAGGAGCTGGAGTTCGAGGCTCTAGAGGAGGAGGAGGAGGCTGGCCAGGAGAAGAAGGACAGCTCTGTTGAGAAAGGTGAGATGGAGCATGTTATGTTCTTGCATTCCCTGCCAATTTGGAGAGGTCTTCTGATTTATGTGACTCAGAGCACTTTTAGCTCCAGAATAATCCAGTCGTAGTCCAATAAAAATAGCTTGCAAGTCTTTTTACAGTGCATCCACAATGTGTTGGCAAACTTCACGAGACAGTAAAAAATATTTCTGCATTTTTATTTGTCTTAACTTTTATTACACACTTGCATAACCACAGCCAGCCTGGCTTTATAGTTACCGAACAAAACCTTAGGATGTAGTAAGCCTGGGATTTAAAGGGAACATTTTAATTTGACCTATTTTAAAGTTATGTACTTTATGAAATACGTTATGTTCTTTGCGATCTCTCTCATTCCTGCCTCTCTCTGTGCAGAAGATGCTGAATCTGCAGTACTTTCGGAAGGAGGAGACGTGAAGGCTGCTTCTCCTCCTGCTGCCTCTGCTTCTGCCCTCTTGCAGCCCTCAGAACAGGAGACACCCATACCCCCCATTACACTCCCCTCAAAGCCCAGCTTCCAGATTGGTGAAGGTATTCAGATCTGCTTAAAAAAAACAGTTCAGCCTAAAAATCTAATTTACACAGTTTTCCCACTTCAGCCGAAGCAGATTTGGTGTAAAGTTTGCTTCCTTAGTTGTGCGCTGGAGCTCAAGGTTAATTTAGTCAACAAGTAGTGGAAGATTTTAGCCACGAGTTTCACACACAACACTTGCATATGTAATTTCTGACAGTGTTGCATACTTTTATTGGCCATAGCCTGGTTAAAAAAGTGGTAACAGCCATCATGAAGCTTGATTTTGCTTTGTTGGTCACTTTAATGTAGATTGTAAATGAAAGATAATGTGGATTTCACTCAAGTGTCCAGATTGCCTCTGAACTGAAGGAATGTGTGTTTCAGATGCAGCTCCAGTAGGGGGCAGCAGTCAGCCCAGTCAGAATTCCTCAGCTGCTGTGGTCTCCCCTCCCCCCACCGCTGTTACTGAACTCCCACCACCAGGGGGAGACACAGAGGAGGAGGACGGCATGAAGCACCTTCAGCAGGTCAGTGAGGCTCTACATCCTGCCTCCATTTTAGATGGTTAAGGTTGTTACTGCTGCATTACTCACACCATGCATTTTACACATGAGAGGCAGGATAGAAATGGATGCTTATTAGGCTAAAACACTGGAAATAAAACACTTCTTACAGGGAATAAAACTTTTTTTTCCTCAAAATCTCAAAAAAATCCTCAAATTCAGAATTGTTCACAGTGGTGGTGATAGGAACCAGACGTCCACCTCTAAAAGCTCCCTCACAGAAAGTTCCTACATGAAATGGTTATGAATTCACTGCCTGATGCCTGAGACACTGTTTAATGATAATTTTGAGAAGATTTTGGCCAAAAAACTGTTTCAGAGAGGTAAATAGATGGCTTTGTAAGACAAAGTAGTCCCCAAAGAAAATGTTAACCACCATTTTACCGTCATTTGGTTCTTATTACCACAACAAAACAAAACAAAAAATGGCAGTTTCTGATTATGTTTCTCTGCAACAAACCATTTCACATCAAGCCAGTCTGGATGACTTTTTGTTTGCATCGGAATTATTGACTTGTACAGAAAATATGAAAATCTTGGTGTGATTTTTCCATTTAGGCTGATTAGTGGTTTACCATGCTGCCCTGCAAAGGCAAAGAAAAGTAACTATGATAACAAAGAAACTAAGAAAGACATCCCCCAAGTTCTGTTGTAGTGTACTAAAAGACTAAAAGGGCCATATTAAAAAATCTCAGTAAATCTGTGGGCTGTGTTTTTATTTCATTTTCTCTTAACATGTTGCTGTTACCCGAATGGGCCGTTGTTTATTCAAAACATGCCAAAACTGTGAAAGCAAAATAGGCTCTGAATTCTTATTTAAATTTCAATACTTAACAAAAATGATTCAAAATAAAAATGAATTGTTTTAGGTAGTTCTTTTAAAACCGCATATTCTCTTGAACTAGACACCAGACATCTCCTCTTTTTGTGTAACCACTGGCCCATAGATTGCTGTTGGGGAAGGGGGTCAAAACCCACACTGTGTTGCAGAGCATGCTGGGGACTGTAGTGCATCCCAGGGTTAAACGGGCTACTAAGAATAGATAATTAAAATCATTTTGCGGGCCAAATAGGACTGTGTCCCAGGCCTGACTTGGCCTTGTGTTTGACACGTGGGCTTTAAAGGGTCCATGTCATGGAAAACTAATTTCTTTGTTTGTCTGTATTTTTTCTTTTTTTTTTTTCTAATTAGAGTTTGCTGTAGTATGTAAACAGTTTGAGTTTCAAAATGTACCATTTATTCCCAAGTTCATATAGTCCAGTGCAGAAAAGTCTGTTTTGAATTAGTTGTTTTTCTCATGTCACGAAAAACCAACTCGTTTACAGATGTTATCCATTTATTCATTGGCCAGTAATGAAAACAGCCAGTTTAATTCTAGGGGATAAAGAAAGGTTGTAAAACGGTCATGTAAAAATGAATGATGGCTGTTTTTGGTATGTAAATCCACACGACCTCGGGGACAAAAATAAAATCGTAGGAAATCGACCCTTTTAAAACGAAGCATAGCTGAACCACAGATTGAAACGCAGACACTCCGTTTTGATCATAACTTGGCTGCTGTGTTTTGCTCTTGTTTGGCAGCGCAGCGAATGTGACCTGTGGGCCCTGTTTGTTTTTTTTAGGAGGCTGAGAAGATGGTTGCATCTCTTCAGGACACTTCTCTGGAGGAGGAGTGTTTCACACAAGCACTTCAAGAGAGCCACAGCGCTGCCGCTCACACACACTCCCACCCTTCCTCGCACACACACTCCCACCCAGCCACACACCCTCTTTCTCACTCTGCCAGTGCCTTGGCACTGAATCACGAGTCAGCCATGAAGTGGTTTTACAAAGACCCTCAAGGAGAGATCCAAGGTAAGCAGACACCTGCACAGTTCTCTGACTTCTATTTTTTTTACTATGCACAACTTTGTGTGAATAATCAAAATTTTCCACTTAAGAAACTAGATATCCAGTTTAATCCTGTTTAATCCTAACTTTTGACCACTAGATAGATACTAAAATTTGCACGGATCACTCAAACCACCAAGCCAGTAAATCTTGTGGCCAAAATGAAGAATTTGTTTCCAGAATTATAGAAACAAGTTTATCATTTATTCATTGTATTTTCAGTAAACAAACACGTCCAACCTCATTTTGCACTTTATTAAAAATTAAGTTTTTAAAGAAGTTACATTAATAAGAATGTTACTGTCACATTCACTGTCGCTGTGGTTGCGAATTAACTTTGACAATTTATAATTACCTGCTACATTAACTACAAATTTTTTATTTTTTTCTTAGGGCTTGTGCTGTATGTTAAATTACGTTTCAATAAGCTTTTCATATTGAGTCAGATCCCAGCACTAAAAGGACACTTTCCAGCTGCACGCTTTCACTAAAGAGCGTTAGAAGAGGCTCCCGTTTGGCGTATATTAGATTTCACTCCATTTCAGAAAATTTAGTTTAAATCCTGATGGTGCCAGGAGTTCAAGAGAGCTTAATTAGCTCTGCTTAACTAGACTCAGTGCTGCGCAGCATGTGAAACGTTGAAAAAAGGGTTAAGTCATTCTGCAAATAGATTTTAACAGCAGTTTTAGATTTTGCGCTGCTGGTGAGGTCTCACTTCTCCAGCTTGTTAAATATGGAGAGGTCCTCTGAGTCTGAGTGTTTCTCTGCTCTTCCTCCAGGCCCTTTCAGTCCAGTGGAGATGTGCGACTGGTTCCAGGCAGGCTACTTCCCCATGACCCTGCTGGTGAAGAGAGGCTGTGACGAGGGATTTCAGCCTTTGGGAGATGTTATTAAGATGTGGGGACGCGTGCCTTTCTCTCCAGGACCTTCACCCCCTCCCCTTCTGGTGAGAGAGAGAGACTCATACACATTGGCTGTTATTCATCAGAGTTGCATGCAGTCAAATCTGGTCGTAAAAAAGGAGCGCACACAAATTTTACAGTTTTGTTGTCCTTCAGTTTTGCCTTTGGCATACAATCTATGTAATCGAACAAGCGTCTGATAAAAGTACATATAAATTTGTGAAAAAAACTTGGTTTGATGTTAATAACCAAAACTTTTATCGTTATCGTTCATAATACTATCAATGATACAGTAATACTGTGCAATGCAATTAATACGAACAACAAAAGTAGACAATACTAATTTGAGCACACAGCAATTAATACAAAAAGAATGTACTTCGTGTATTTTACATTCATTTTGGTATAAACAAATGCTGCTTTATTCTGCGCTTTTGGTTTATGCTACTGACTCCACCCATAAAATAAACAGTCCAGTACACTATCAAGTCATTAAGGATCGTCTTTTTTATGCAGCTGTAACGAATAAGAGCCACTTTGTAGTAAATTGTAGTACATAAAGCCAAAATGGTGCTTTAATTTGGGTTTATGTGATTTAGTGTCATGTGGTATTTTATTTGCTGTTTCAGGGCAACATGGACCAGGAGTTCCTGAAGAAGCAGCTGGAGCAGGCGGCCACTGCTGCCCTCTACCAGCAGCTCCATGTGAGGTTCCAGCACTTGAACAGGTAACTGTCGACTTTACAGCACTCAAACAAATATATATAACGAAAGGCCAAAGCATGGAGGAGATGATGGATTGTTTTAGTTGTGGCTAGTGATATCATGACGAGAATGAGAGTGAATGAAATTTGGTTGCTGGAAAGTAAGATACCGTCATAACTGTGAACAGGAAAAAATAAAATCTTGCGATGGCATGGCACGCTGCTGCTGTATTAAAAATTAATTTATAGCTGTGTTGAGAAGAACAGTATAGAATATTATGCCTAGACGCTGCTAAAATGACCTTTTCCTCCAGTTTGGGACCTTCAGTGTTGCTGTCTGAAGCTCTGTTTCTTCAGAGGTCAACACTGCTAATGCAGTTTTGCTGTTAATCACCAAGGTTACCCTCCAAGGTTAAACCTGAAGCAGCATTTTTCAAGTCTGTGATGCAAAACTGATCGCTGCCATTCCGTTAGAAATGAGTGTAATTTTGCTTGTGACTCTTTAATTTCTTTAATCTTAGCTGATTTATGTATATTTGTGTCTCTCTGTGTGTGTGTGTGTGTGTGAACAGGTCCGTGTCTGTGCCGGAAGCCGGGTCCATGTGGGACTTGCATACCTCACCCTCACAGCCACCAGGTAAACATTACCAACCCTTAGTCTGATTACTTGACCGAAGCAATCAGACCTCCTTACTGTATTACAGTAACTCCTCTGCGAGATAATGCTATTTGCACAACTGTACAGATGTTACATTTCTGCAGATGTTTATACTATTCTGTAATATTCTGTGTATAATAGTTTTGTAGTATACGTCATCAGATTTGCATGTGCATAGATGTTCTTGTCTGAATATGTACAGATGTTCACACTTGTCTTTAGCTCCTCGATGGTTTTTTATTATTCATTATTCTTTATTCTATTTATCATATTTATTTAAATTTTCCCTAGCAGTTAAATTCTTGTTAATCGTCTGTTTGCGTGTCTAGTTTGTTTAGTATGTCATACGTGTGCGCTCACCAAGACAGATTCCTTATATGTGTGATACGTGGTGAAATAAAGTGATTCAGATTCTAAAACTGTCCTCAATCTGTGCTCTACAGGCAGTGAGGCTGGTCTGTGGGACTTAACCATGAGTAACTCATCTCAGGGTCCAACTCTCGAGCAGCTGCAGAAAGTAAGTGCTTGTTGTTGTTATTAGTATTGTTATTATTATTATTATTATTTTTATTACTACTGTTATTGTTCTCCTCCTTATGTTGTCTCTCTCACTTTCCTGTAGTGATTATATTGAAACTAATATTTTCTTTTTTTCCATTATTAATTTCTTTTTCGTCTTTATTTTCATTTTATCATATGTGCTGCTTAATCAAAATTGTCTGTGCACGTGTGCGTCAGCTCCAGCAGGAGAGGCGTGAAGCTGAACTCAGGGTGAAGAGAGAGGAAGAGGAACGGAAGCGCCGAGAGGAGAAGAGAAGGCAGCAGGAGGAGCAGAAGAGGAGAGAAGAGGAGGAGCTGTACAGAAGGAAACAGGTGAGTGCTCTTCACTTGAGTGTCTGATTAAATTGTAAGTATGGAAACTGTTGTGGGCGGTTATCTTCTGTCCGTAATATGACCCCCAGCCCAGCACAGCTTCATAACCATAACTGTAACGCCATCAATCTAGGGATGTAACAGTACAGCGAAATTACGGTTCGGTTCACACTGCGGTTTGGACATCATGGTTCGGTACGAGTTTGGTACAATGGGAAAAAAAGCAACAGGAACGACTGAATGCATAAGGCTGGCTTTCGATTATTTTGAACCGACAGTAGAGCAAGTTACAGTTTGTTCCACCTACTGTTGTCTAGTCCCTCCTGAGGTAACTTTGGTACAGCCAGGTCACTCACACTCGACGGGGAACGTCACTGATGTTAGCTGATCTGTGCAGTGATGGTTCAGCTTCAGTGGTGATTCTAAAGTTTGGAGCAGAGAAAACAGAAAAAACTAGAAAGATAAAGTTCGTGAATAAGCTTTAAGTTGGCCTGAAAAAGCCAGCTAATCGTGTTAAAACATTAAAATGGTGGAAGACTGTTGATGGTTTGCTAAAATATTGCTAACCGGATGCTACAGTATCCAAGGTGGATGGTAATGTTTTGCTAGGTGCCACCTTAAATGGAGTTCCACCTTAAATTCGGTGCCACCTTAAATTTAGTGCTATTTTAAATGCAGTTCCACATTGAATTCACTGCCGCTGTAAATGCAGTTCCACCGTGCCAACTTAATTTTAGTGCTGCCTTAGATGGAGTTCCACCTTAAATTCAGTGCAGATTTAAATGCAGTGCCACCTTAAATTCAGTGCAAAGCAGTTCCACCTTAAATTCAGTGCAAAACAGTTCCACCTTAAATTATTTGTGCTATTATTACCTTAAATTCTGTGCCACCTTAAATGTAGTTCCACCTTAAATTCAGTGCCACCTTAATTTTAGTGCTAACTTAAATGGGGTACCACCTAATTTCATCGTGTGTGTGTGTGTGTGTGTGTGTGTGTGTGTGTGTGTGTTTTTTTTTGTTTTTTTTTTATATATAATTCTCTCCTCTTACTTACCTCAATAGCTGCCTTTCCCAAATCCAGCCCCCTGTTCAGACACATCGAACTCGCGCCTCACAGCTGATCGGGGGTCAGGAGTTATGACTCTGCTGCAGTTATGAATCCCCGATACACTAATTCTTTTGTTACGTTAGGGACAGAAATGGTCCTCTGCGACCCACCGCTGCTAACGCCCTACAACTTCAGGTTTCCAAGGGGAACCTGTGCTTGTGAAATTTGGCTCTGCATTGCATTCATCAGTCTTCACACATACCATGCATTGTCCATAAGACTGCATGTACTGAACCGTAACGTCCTCACTGTTACACCCCTATCGTTAAAACAGTTTCCTAGTGTCACCCTTCAAAGCTGCTCTGGTGCTGTATTCTGCTTTGATTCTGCAACTGTAGCCCTCTTTTTCATATACAGGTTTTAATGGCAATTTCCAAGTTTTCCATAATGGCTTTCTTGATTAAAAAAGTTATTATTTCTACTGCAATGCTGTAGTACATCCAGTTTGAAGTATCATTTGCAAGCAAACACAGCTGATAATTCATCAGACTGCACTGCAGAGCTCGTGGGACAGCTTGGAGCTCCAGTTCCCCACGAGAGTCTCAATAACCCAGAAGCTGTGGAACGAGAGCGAGAGGCTACATTCACAGAAAAAATGGAGCCATTGACTGTATATGATACATTTCTAAATAATCATTGGTTGAAACATGTATTAACAGTGCTGTTCTTGCATGGATGTTTGTGTTCAGCAGCAGTGTCGTCAGCAGGAGCTCCTTATGAAGCTGCTCCAGCAGAGCCAACAGCAGCAGGCGGCGCAAGGGGGCTCCGGCTGGAGCGCGGCCCAGGCAGGGCCTCTGTCTCTGGGCAAAGCTCAGGGGAAGAACCTGGGTCTGCTGGAGCTGGAGGCTGAGAGGCTGCACAAACAGCAGCAGCAGAGAGTTCAGCAACAGCAGAGGGTAAATGCATAGACCGCTGTATGTAATGAAGTCAGTAGAATGTACTCTCTTTGTACCTCTTTCACTTTTTAAGCTAGAACCATAAAACTTTTAGGATCAGGATCGTAGAGTCTGTGCGAGAACAGTGCACTTGTGCCTTTGTTAAAAATGTAATCTCACTCCTTTTCTGTCTGCAGCTGGCGATGGGTCAGTGGGGTGACAGCACTGTGGGGATGTGGACAGGGCCAGGTTTGGAGGGAAAAGTTGGCAGTGCCAGCGCCGGAGGCATGGGCATGTGGGACGAGGCGCTGAAGAACCAGGCCAACCACCGCAACATGGGCATGAAGAACAGCCACAGCAGCCCCTCACTCAGGTAAACGTTTCTAGCAGGCGTTGTGATTATTGTGAAGTAGTTTAAACACCATGTTTTTAAAGTCATTAACGCTGTTCTTGTATATTAACCTTAGCTTTTGTAGAACTGGGTAAGACCGTCTGTATTTTATCACACTGTTTAAGATTAATAATTAGGACTGAGTATCAAAATTCAAAAGATTTATTGTGCCAGCCAGAATACTTTGGTATATAAAGTATGTAGAAAATTTTCATGTAATTCAGTACCACATTTCAGTACTTTAACATAAGGTAGTAAGTTTCTAGTGATTGGCTGTCTAAATTACATTCCATACACACATTATTAATGTCAGCATATGGCTGAAATATGAATTTTTATGTAGAAAATGCAATTTGAAAGAGTGCATTTTCAAATTGGAAAATCTGCCATTTTAATTTAAGCATTTATTATCAACAGTGTCACCTTAAGTTTAAGGTGGGGGCTTTTCACCTAATGAGATGGAGCTTGTGAACTGCCTGTAGATGAATTACACCAGTCAGGAGAATACCCATATGTTGTGACATCACAGCCCCAGCTAACTAACAGTAGCCACATTTACACGTAGCCTAATAATTTGTAAATAATCTGACTAATAGCTCAATCGGAATAGAATACGTCCAAGTCTACGCCACAGTCGAAATAGGTTAGTCTGATTGAGGCCATTTGGAATATAGTCTCTATCCGAATGATCGAGGTGGGTAATCCTGTAAATAATCTGTTAAATAGAAGAATAATATCCGTGTAAACGCCTGTATCTGATTACATTCCCTATCGGAAAGTTTAAGTCCGTTCTGATCATGTTCGTCTCATCATAGTGAAAGTTTATACCGTTCAACATGGCGGAGCAGAAACTGGTCTGCAGAGGAGACGAAGTTTATGCTCTGATCTTTAAAAGACGGCGGTGGGACGGACGTCCAGCTTATGTGTCTCAGAACACGACGTCTTCCTCTCGGCTTTCTTTAATAAGGACATGTGAAGGACGTTTTCCTGAGTCTCACATGATTTTAAAGCAATTAAAAACACAAGCGCTGCTCACTGCTGCTCATCTCACTTAGTAAAATTACCCAGTTCCAGCATCTCACACTTACCTCTGGTTAAAGTCACACTTTGATTATAATTTAAGGAAAAGTATTGTAGGAATGGGGTTGTTCAGGCATTAAAGTTGTTAAACTGTATGACTGAAAGGTACATGGACACCTGACTCACACCTATATGAGCTTGTTAGACATCCCATTCCAAAACCATGGGCATTAATATAGAGTTTCACCCACTTTTGTGGCTCTAACAGCCTCCACTCTTCTGGGAAGGCTTTCCACAAGAATTTGCCATTTCACACATGTGCACTTGACAGGCCTGTTCTGTGAGTTTGCGAGGTCTGCTGCTTTGAGGCTGAGCTGTTGTTGCTCCTAGATGCTTCCATTTCACAGTATTAGCACTTACAGTTGGCTGGGGCAGATCTAGCAGGGCAGAGATCTCGCAAACTGACTTGAAGTGATGCAAGGATGGCATCCTATGACATGTTTAAAGTCACTGAGCCCTTCAGTATGATCCACTCTACTGCCAGTGTTTGACTATGGAGAATGCATGGCATGTCCATAATTTCACAATCCTGTTAGCAACACCTAAACGCGTTAATTAGGAGGGGTGTCCACATTCTTTTGGCCATGCAACATATCTGGTTGGTATCAGTATTAAAAACTTTTGAATGACATCCAGTCCTAGTTAAAATATTTTTTACATTATGTTGCACTCTGAAAAGGTCAGTATGAGAATGCAGGATGTTCAGATTACACATAGTATTCAAGGCTGTACTGTTACTGTTTTGCTGTAGGTTTTTTTTTAGTACCTAATTGTCTTCAAGGATAATAAAATGTGGGTCAATGTGATGAGTCAACATCAAAAACAAGCATTAAACTTCTAAATATGACATTTTTTCCTATGAAAACAAAATATTTGTGTAATTATAATGTCTATTCATAGTGATCAGTACATGCTGAACCGTCGGAAGCGGACTGAGGAAGAGGAGCGGCTGCTGAAGCTGTTGCAGGGGATGAAGCCTCAGGACGGCTTCACCACGTGGTGTGAACAAATGCTGCACGCTCTCAACACCTCCGCCAACAGCTCCTCCTCTGGGGATGGTAATGCACACACTCTCTGAAACCGTCGGGCGTTTTCTGAATTCTGACATAAACGCATTCGAAATACAAGTAACATTGTAGACTCAAAACAATCCGCAGCATGAAAGAATGTCTTACCGAAGCTGTTCTTGTGACATTTTGGAGAAATTCTGGTCACTTTAAGAATTTCTCAGTCCTGGTCCTGGAGTCTCTCGTAGATTTGAATGATTTATAAAGGAAATGCGTAAATAAAGGAGAAGCTGGAAAACAAAAAAAAAATCATGCAACACATGAACAGAATAACTATAGTTTGCATAAAAACTGCCCTGCTTAAGTCCCATTATCACAGATATCAGCCCAAGGCTAGGAACTGATTGAGAATTGAGGTTGATTTATTTATTTTTTTTGTTTCTTTTTTTGTTTTGTTTTGTTTTGCAGTGGCCACCATTGTGGCGTACCTGAAGGAGGTGGAGTCGCCTTATGAGGTGCACGACTTCATCCGCTCATATCTGGGCGACACCATTGAAGCCAAAGAGTTCGCCAAGCAGTTCCTGGAGCGCCGTGCCAAGCAGAAAGCCAACCACCAGAGACAGCAGCAGCAGGTGAGGGAGGGGATGAACGTTTGCTTTATCCGTCCTGTGTAGTGATGGTTTATAGAATAGGACAGATTATAACATTTCAGAAAAGCATATGTTCGTTTTTTGGTTAAAAGAATTATTCTCACTTGTAAAAAGTCAAGAACCCTTGAACAGTAGAATTGATTCTTGGTGAAACAACACATTTTATAGTGCATTGAATTGTAAGTTAAAGAGCCATAATCAAACCAAATCTCGTCTCCGTAGCTGTCGAAAGAGGTTGCCGGGCTGAATATGAACTTCCCATTGCAGGTAGGTCCTCCTCTCAGTCAAATATGCTTTATGACTGTACTATAGTTTTCAATAAATAGAAAGTCCCACATAGTTTTTATGAAGCCTGTTTTTCTGTCATTTTCCCTTTTTATAAATTTATGTGGCTATCTATTAATTAATAACGAATCATTTAACTCCTAAATGTAGAACTTTTGTTACCGAGTGTTGGTGCTTTTGAAATGTGGCTGAACCATTAAAGTCCACGTTGTTGTTCTTATTTGTTCACAGTCCATGTTCCAGGCAGCCCATGTGAATAAAAGTAGCAGCATGTATGACAGTCAGGCAGCAAAGATGAAGAAGAAACCCAGCATGATGCTGCATTCTGATCCCAGCATCCTTGGTGAGTGGGACCGTGGTACATCTTTCACACTAAGGATAATCGTTCCAGTCTGATTTGACAGTCGGATTTGTGAGGCAGTATCAAAAAATACTCTTGTTTCTCAACATAAGCCAGCACATCAGAATAAGAGCTTCATGTAGGAGAGCTGTTCTAATTCTGCTGTGCTCTGCAGCTTCATCAGTGAATGTGTTTCAGACTACAGATGTATCAGTTTAATGTAGGCTAAAAATGTAAGCATGTCAGAGTTTTGGGTTATTTTGAGAAAGTAAAGTATTAGTTAAGATATCAGCAGTTAGGCCCAATCCCCTTTTTTATTTTTACGCCTACCCCTTGTTTTTAAGTGTCACTTTGCCCATTGGAGCTAAGATACAAGGACAGACGGTGGCCCTGGGCTGCTGTCCATTTTGGAAAAGTGAAAGTAGCGTGATGAGCTTCGTCTATTCATTCAGAAACTGAAATTTTGAGCTGTTTTTCATTTAACTCAATGTTTATAGCTCAGTTTGAGCTGCTTATAGAGATTCTGATCCTTTTAGCAGTCTTGAACAAGCTCTGTTGGAGCGCAGCTGCTCTGTTGTTTTGGTTGTTGTCAGTCAGTTTTTGTTCGTGGCTAAAGTTTGCAAAAATTGGACAGAGGGCGAGTAAAACTGAGTGTGTTTACGTGCACTTAATAATCCGATTACTGCAGAAATCACATTTTGTCAGTCATCCAATCAGCGCGTTTACCTGCTCTTGGGTAATCAGTTAATGGGGAAACTCCAGGTCTACATGAGTCAGGCAGTAATCAGATTTCTGCTTTGCGACCAGCCAATAAACTCACAGAAGAAGTGATGTAAACATAACGTAAAACTCAAATTTCATGGTGCAGTTTTAAACATCGAGCCACTTTACCTGAAAATATGGACATACGTTATGTAGAAAATAAAGAATATTTAAATTCTTCCTTTTGTCAAGCATGTAGTCAGACTCATTTATTTCCGGTCTGTTTTCACACATGCGCGGACTGAGAAATCTGAAAGAAATCAGACTAAGACTTTACATGCGCTGAAATCTGATTACTGAGTTATCCAGGCTCTTTGAGATTTCTTAATCAGATTTCTATGATCAGATAACTGCAGAAATCCAGTTATGATTATTGAGTGCATGTAAACACACTCGCTGTTGTGTTTTGAATGTTCTAAAAATTGTTTGGTGTGCAAGATCAGTTATACATGTCTTCAAATTAATTTACCGTCATCCGATTTAGTCGCGTTTGGTGTATAAAGGCCTTTAGACTGTTTGTTTTTTGTTCATTTAAAAAAAGACTCATCTAAAAGTTACTTCACAGGCCTTATTATTATTATTATTATTATTATTGTCACATTTTTAATTATACCGTAATTTCTTCATAATATTTCCTGTTTGCCTGAGCCTTTTCTCCACTGTGCTGAAACTGACCGTCTCTGTCCGGCAGGCTATTCGTTCCTGGGCTCCGGCGAGCGGATGATGCTGGGCGAGATGGAGGCGGTGGAGGATTACTGATCCAGCAGAAGAAAACAAAAAACCTACTTGAGTCTACCTGAGGCCTTAACCTGGAGCAAATTAGCAGATGAATGTGCACTGCTCAGCGAGAGAGAGAGGACGAGCCACACACGTCTAACACTCTCCCTCTCTCTCTCTTTTCCTCTCTGTCTCTCTGTCTTATGTTCTCTTCCTCCGCCACCCAGCGGAGGAGTGAATAACAGGAGGAACGGAGGGGACGGTGTGTTTCACACCTCTTTCAGAAAGCACCTTAACTAAGCTATTGCACTTTATTACCAGAGTTTCAATATTTGAAATTTTGTGTGAATCTTTTTTCTTTTTTTTATAATGCAAAAACGTGTGAATATATTGTTGCATATATTATGTGTAGAGTATTTGTATACAAACGTGAGCGAATACGCATCGGGAAGGTTCGGAACGCCTCTATGTGGAGCACAGCTGGAAGGCTGGTGGTGGTGGGAGGGGTCACATACACACACTCTGGCGATATAAATCCTGTTGAAAGACAAACACTGTTGTATTTTTTTCTTTTCTTATGAAAGGTAAAGCTATAAAAATATGAATTTGAAAACTTGAAGATTTGCACTTGTTTTAAAAAAAAACAGTTTAGATTAGTGGTTAGTATGATTGTAATCGAGTGCAAGTGTGGTAATGTGAAGAAAAGTCTGCACAAAGTTTATTACCGACATGTATAGAAGAAATGCCATGTTTTTATTTTGTTCAGTGGAGATTTTGTACTTCGTCAAGCATGTATACTAAAGGTTGTACGTGTGCGTGCGTGAGAAGCGACTGTGCGCGATAGCTCACTTGTAAATAGGTTCAGATTGGACAGCAAAACATTGCATGGCCAGCGTTCTGAGGCTGGGGCTGCAGTTCCACCCACGGCCTGCGGGGGCAGTGTTTTGCATGTTCTGTCTGTGGTGCTGTATCGGCCTTTTTGCCTCTGTTTTCGGAGGCGGTTTGGGTCTGTGGGAGCATGTTGGATATTTATAGTGTAGCTTTTCTGTTTTTCAAACACCATAAAACTGTGTAACTGCATTATCACTCCCTCTTTATGTCATTTTTGTCATTTTTTTTTGCCCCCCTCCTCCATTTGACTCAGTGTGGATCATTCTCGGCGAGGACGAGATGTGAACTTTATTGCCTTTTGTGCAGTACGAATGCGGATGTATGTGCTGGTTTGATGGCTGGTGTCCAGTCAGTCGCCATGACGCTGTGATCTGTATGTACGTGGGTGTGTGAGCGACTTGCGTTACTATTTTCATTGCTGTCGGGGGGGAAAAGAGACAAGAAGAAACGATAAGAGATTTATTTTTTTATCGTTACATACAAAGTATTTGAACTTCTATAATTTGGAGCACTTTTGAGGCTGCTACCTTATTGTATTTTTGTTTTCTGTGTAATGTTGTTTTATTCCTTTATTTCCATTGTTTTTGCCTCTTTGGGAAGTATATTACAAATGAATGTATTCCTAAACAAAGCAAAATGTATAACGGAGGCCAGACTCCACCCGTCTCTCCACCCAAGCGAAGGAGCGCGAGGAGAAAGACGGAAAGACGCGGTGGTCAGTGAAAATACGGAGTGTCTCCTCCTGCTGTTTCTTCCAGAAATTTTCTCCAGCAGCGGGAACACGGCACATCCGGACCTCCGGGCTCGAGGAGGGTCTTCATCCTGGCCTACAGAGCCAAGGACCTGCGGGGTGTAGCATTAGACTTACTGATGTTTGTGTTTTTGTTTTGTTTTCTGACAAATTAAGGATTTGGTTCCTTTTTTTATTTATTCTTTATGCTTTCTGTCAAATTTTGAACTTAGATATTTTTTTTCGAGAGAAATTAAGGATTAAGTCCTTGTTTTCTTTCAAATCTGCTGAAATTAGATTTTTTTTTCATTTTCTTAAGACTTTTTGCTACTTTCTGACAAAAAAAAATATTTTTTTCTTTTTTTTCACATTTTTTGTTTGTACCTTTTGAATTCGGCCCAGTTCTTCACAAAAGACGAGAAGAGACGGACTCTTGAAGACGAGGGCCGAGGAGTTAGCGGTACTTAATCTAGAGGAAACAATCCATGCTTTAAGCGTATTTTGCTCTTCGTCCTCGCTCTCGACCCTGGATTATATTTTTGCAAAATAAAGAGGAGGTGACGGAAAAAAAAACAGCCGATTAAGCTGAACGCTCCTCAGGAGGTCGAGGTCGTCTTGTTCTCACCTCAGAGCCTCTGTTTCTGGAGAGATGGACTTGAGTACTCTTTGTCAAATGAAGGAAAATCCTACACCATTCCAGAAAAATGGTTGGTTGAATGTTTGACAAAAAACCCTTTATAGTAGAGAAAAAATATTTTCAAATTGCCTTTCAGAAAAAAAATTAGCGTGTGGAAAAAAAACTGCGCTCGTCCAGTTGTTGAGCCCAGAGCCTTTAGACTGGTCAGAAACATGAATGTTTGGATTCGGACGCAGGAAGAACTTCCAGCCATTCCACATTCGTTCTCGTGGACTAAATCCCAGAGACTGCGGTCGTCAGTTTCATTCCTCGAGGAGGAGGAAGATTTCCACAACGCCGCGATCGGCTTACAGCATCGCAGAAGATGTGGATTATAAACCCCCTCAGGACCCGAGCAGGAAGATCAGGTAAGACACCGTCTTCTTAAGGTTTATGAGAAGCTTGTTTATGGAAAGGTTTATTGGGACATACTGATTTTTATATTACTGTATTTATATGGAATTGTATGTATTTTTTAATGTGCTTTTTATTCATATTTAGCCTTTTGTAATTGAATGCCTTCAATATATATATATATATATAATACACACACACACACATACATCTCTGCTGTCCTCCAAAATGGTAACTTTACAGGAGAGGGAAAAAACCTACTTTACTTTTAATGTAAGTCAATGGAACCAGACTTTTTTCCAAGTCATTTTGGGCCGTTTCTTTTGGTCCGTTCATCATGACATTTACACACAATGTAAAGAACAACAAGTACTTTCAAATTATGTCAAAAACTGAAAAACAACAAAAATGGAGATACAAGGTTTAGTTTATATATATATATAACTAATGTTTGATATGCACAAATGATTTGCACAGTTTGTAGGTGTATATATGTGTATGTGTGTATATTTATATATTTAAAACTGCAAATGGACAAAGTCAATGATACAAATTACAACTTTCTACAGGTTTTTTTTTATTTATTTGGAAAACATAAATCTAACCTCTTATTTAAGAAACAAATGCGAAATACACAATTACAAGCACTTTTCGCTGTACAAACAGCTCCTAACAGTGTTCATTGTGGAAACGCGCATCACGGTAGTGATGAAAATGCGATTTGTCATGCAGCCGTAATTTACAGAGAACCTGTGAGTATTTGTGATTTTGACTGGACGCCTCATCATAGCTCATCTCGTTTAGTCTCGCGGGATCAGGCATGATCTCGTAACGATAACACGTTTTGGGCCGACTTACTAAACTTTGGGTGCTGGATTGTGGTGAAATTTGCCGCTAAAAAAAAAAAATAAACCCCTTCTAAAAAAACCGTGTTCCTCCAGTCCGTACTCATCATTCAGAGAACAGTCATAACACAAGCAAAACTAGCGTAGAGCCGTCGCTAACAGACCTGTTTTCCCTTCTAAGAGAATCTGTTAAGTTTTACAGACGCTACTCGTTTAGTTTTTGGGGAGCTTTTCAGCTGCGCTAACTTAAGTTACATCCATGTGCGACAGACTCTGTTAGATGATAATACACCAGCGCCACCTACTGTGAGGTCCACCAGCACAAGGTTTTGGATTGATTCAGAAATTTCTTACATAATTTGTCCCCTCGTTAATAATTATCTACTCTTAAAAAAGATTGTTCTCCAAGGGTTCTTTGGTAAAGACAGTGGTTCTATATAGAACTGTGAACACTCAAAGAACCGTTTCTATGCTTAAATGATTCTTTGTATAGTGAAATCGTTCTTCAGATTGGGGCAGGATGTGTTACGGTTCTACATAACACCAAAAACGGGTTTTTCTATTTTTATAAGCTTGACATCGTAACAATATAAGAACCCTTTTTAAAAAGTTCTCTGTAAAATGTGCACAACACATTCATCAGTCTGAACCATTTCACTATGCAAAGAACCCTTTTAGCATGTACATTGTTCTTTGAATGTTCGTGGTTCTATGTAGAACCATCTTATTTTAAGTGTACGTTCCCCCCAAATTTCTCAGGTGATCCCCGGACGTTCTCGTTACGAGATCACGCCTGGCCCCATAAGCCTGAAACTAAATAAAGTATAAAATGTTTTTTAACCTTTTTTTTTTGTTATTTATATTCATGTTTATTTCTGCTCTTGTCTCAACAGCTCCCTTGTGGGCGTGGCCTCTGCTCTGAAGCTCCACTCTGCCCTCCGGTGGCCGATGGATATAAAGACTAACGCCAGGATTCAGCTGCCATTCGCCCAGCATGAGCGAGACTGAACCTGAAGCCTCTCTCACTCGTTTCTCTCATACATGCTTTCTTTCTCTACTTCACCCTTTCCTTCTCTCCTTTTACAACATTCTACCCCCCTTTTCTCTTCATCTCTCCTTTTTAGACTGGTGGTTCTCAAACTGGTCCTCAGCCACTCCGTGTTTTTGCTGTAACCCAGCTCCTGTTGCACCTGTACGAGGTAGTCAGTGCTCTGAATGACTTGATTCAGGTGTTTCAGGAAATGAGCGAGAGCAAAAATGTGACCCGGCTTGGGCGGGGGGTGCTGAGGACCACTGCAGTAGACCACTCTTTTGAGACTGTTCCTGGCAGAGTGAAGCTATGAGAGCCCTGTTTACACCTGGTTGTTTTGTGTTTTTGACTTGCATCAAGAGTTTAACCACATGCATTTACACTTAGTAATCAAATGCGTCTTCAGTTAGATTGAGGCGTGATTTCTGTTTGTGGCGCAGTATGCAAATCAGGCCATATGCAGCCAATCACCTGTGTTGTTATTAGTTTTTCCTTTTCTATTCGAAATATGGTTATCACTTTAAAAATCTCAAATTTCCATGGCGCTATACTTTCCTCATGTCGATGTTTACAAGAAGACGACCGTGTAGAATAATCAGCCTCCTGTATTAGTCATCAGAGTCATGAGCCACCTGCGTTAAAGCGTGATGTATTGTAGCGAGACAAAGTAAAGTTTAACCAAACCGCTGCTTTATTTTAACCAGCTTGGACCAGGCTGCACGATCCGACTCGGAGGAGGAGCTCACATCTGAATTGAATGCCTCTGTTTAGTATCAGCGGTCAAGGAGGCTTTGTTTTTCCATATGCAGAGCAGCAAAGGGTGGACTCGTGATTGTGTCTTGGTGAGACAGATGCATTTGCATCTGGTTAAAATGTTCCTCCTCCTGAAGTGGTTTGAGGGATCTGTTTTAAATGTACAGGGAGATTCACTCGAAAGAGGCCCCGAATATTCTGTAATAACTCTCTCCAGGACGAAGCAATCTGAACAAAACAACACGCAATGAGCTCCTCAGTATATGGAGCTTCTAACAAGCCGGGATGCCCCTGCACTGGAGCGATGAGGTAGGCGCCGGACAGCCGTCGCCACATCTAACCTCCGATAGCAGCTTCCGGGTGCATAGCCCCCATACGCCTTCATGTGTCTGGCAGAAAACGGAGATCACTTCCAGCTTCGCATGTAATGCAATCGATGACATACATCAAGGTATGCAGAATATTTCTTTGGTTCAGATTGCTTCATCCTAACGGGGGTTACAACAGAATATTCGGGGCCTCTTTCGAGTGAATCTCCCTGTATCTTGGGTTTACACTTAGATTTTTATGTGGATAATCTCTGTCTGGATATCTCATGTTTTAGACTACACCACAAATGAGTGCTGATAAACCGATGTACAAACAGTGCAACCACGCTAAAGTTCGCCCCTTTAGAGTCAGGAAAGTTTGTCACATCTTAAATGAAAATGTTCCTCTGTCCCCTCTCGTTTTATCTAAGGTAGTCCAGTTTGTTTTCAAGGCAGTGGACACAAAGGAACAGCCATCTTTTTTGGGATCAAGCCCAAAGGCTGCCTGACTCAGTCAGCTGCATAAGACAATGATGATGTGGCCTCAGGGTTGTAACCTGCTAAACAGGTCGTGGACCAGCTGGTACTGAAGAGTGAATGACTAATGTTTTCCAAATTTAGGTCGGAGGGCCGAGCGTACGCGACACGTGAGACGAATGACTTGGAAAAATTAGACTAAGCTGAAGTGACGACTTGTTCGAATTTCTCGTTGCACCTTAAGTGCTGCAGCAGGTACATTCAGGCCTGTGCAGGTGCCAGAATGTAATTGCGGCTCCATTTAAGGTGGATTGGAAAATCGGATCTAACAAAGCTCCCTAATAAGAAACCAACTGGTTGAAATTCGGATGTAAAACAGCATTTAGCCCCGGGCCGGCCGAGCTAGCGTTAGAAAGCAGTATTGACAGGTTTATAAGAAATTTTTTCAGCTTAGTTTTTATTTTGCGCAGTAGAAATATTTACTTTAGAAGTGGTTCTTATTAAAAAAGTGACAGTCACAGAATAATTACTGCTACAAAAATAGGTTTACCAAAAAATGCGTACCGTAAAACTAAAAATTTTAATTATACCATGATATTAATTTTTTGTAATACCGCCCAATACAAACCAGGTGTAAACAGGATCTGAGAGTGTGTATTTGTGTCTGTGGAGAGGCTACATGCGCACAGGCGTGTGTGTGTATTTGGCTCTGAATGCCATGTAAATAATGTAAATGATTAACGTCCCTGTCTCAGTTTCAGTAACCTCAGTCCTTTTTTTTCTCCCCTTTTGGTTTGTTTTTCATGCCTTAACTGTACAGAATAGAAGTACAATGGACAATTTTAGCTTAACTCGCTAATCCGCACTCATTAGATTAAACAGATTCTCTTCTGTGTACAGTGCTCATCTCCAGTATGTGTTCCCCACTCAGCAGAGTGTGTGTCTGATTCTGGAGCTGGAGAACACCACACCGTGCTGTGGAACCATACTTTCACGTTGCTCTGTATGTATTGTTCCTCTGTTTAACGTGAAGCAGTTTTTGAAACATACGGACTGATGACTCCTGATGTATTATCAAGTTTGAAAGAGTAATTTTAGCGTTAAAAATAAAGACTGATATAGACCTCCCTCTGGAAGAGCCAGCAGACGAGAGGACGTCAGAGAGGAGGGAGGAGAGCCTGGTGGATAAGCGGGAGTAGTTTTTGTGTTTTTTGAGAAGATCAAAATATGTTAAACTGATAATAAAGTTTTTAAGTGGTGGATTGTGCTTCTGTCGATTGTGTTTCTCAGGTTTGTTACTCTGGCCCGGCTCCTGATGGGCTGATGTGCTGCTGCACAGTCAGGTACAAAAACTGACCTAAAGGAGAACCCAACAGACCTTGGGGTTCTAGTTCCAGTTCAGTTTTGGCCTGTGAGAGACAGCTAGAACCATCATAACCACTTTCAAAGAGAATTGCACCAGTTTGTCATTTTCAATCGGTGCATAACTGAGTGTGTGAGATGTAAACAGAGAGATTCAGAGTGGTTTGGTGTGAAATGGTTCAGATGTCTTTACAGTGGTGGTAGGAACCAGGGGTCGCCATGACTACAACACAAATATAGACATTTTATTTATTATCCAGAACCACCAGTGAACCTACACGAGTCTTCTGAGTTTATATGGAATGTTGATGATGGAAAATAGTGGAAAATCTGAAATAATAAGTTTTCTTTGGGGACTATTTTGCCTCATAACACCCTGCGTATTATGTATCCCTCCACCATGAATGGATTTCAAGGCCAAAATCTTCTCAAAACTGTCATAAAACAGAGTCTCAGTCATCAAGCAGTGAATTCATAACCATTTCATGTAGTAACTTTCTGTGAGGGAGCTTTTAGAGGTGGACGTCTGGTTCCTATCACCACCACTGTGAACTATTCTGACTCTGTAAGTTTATCTAGAACAGAGCGTTTCACACCAAACCACTCTGAACGACTGTTTACATCTCAACTGTTTAATTATGCTGATATTTTGAAAAAGCAGTCAAATGTCACCTTTAAGGTTCTTCACGCCTGCACGTCTCATTTACAGATGTGGTTCATCCATTGAAAGGTTCTCTAGGGAGCCAAAAGTGGTTCCCCAAATACCTCTTTTTGGCACCTTTATTTTTAAGAGTGCCCTGAAAAAAAGCAATGCATGTAAATGTGTTATATTTCTACATAAATGGAATATATTATGAGGCAACATTGTCGGCTAATATTACTATTAGGTAATAATTGCGTTGATATATCTATTACATTTGAAATTGCATCAGTTTTTTTAGTATGTAGTCTCATGTGAGAGTACATAGTTGTGCCACACAGTTGGGCAATATGATATATGAAATTTGATATTTGTGATAAGATGCTTTTGCTAAAAGATGTAAACAGAGTGATTCAGAGTGGTTTGGTGTGAAATGGTTCAGATGTCTTCACAGTGGTGGTGATAGGAACCAGGGGGCGCCATGACTACAACACAGATATAGACATTTTATGTGCTGCACTCTCAGAAAAAAAGTACTAAAGCATCACTGGGGTGGAACCCTCAGGGGTCCATCTCAGTACCTTTAGTCAGGGAACATAACTGAAACATAATCCACTGAAATGATATGTTCTAAGCTGTACTGACTCCACACACCCCGTCTCGTCTCCAGGCTTTTATTTTACTGTTCTGTTTAAAACATTCGGTTATGAAAAGGTACAAATACAAACTTTTCACCTGGAGAAACTTATTTAAGGTTCACAATCAGACCTTAAAACCACTGTTGGAGCTTTGAGGGAACATTTACACTGTTTGTACCTTGATGAACGAAAAATGTACCTGAACAGAACCTTTATTTCTAACAGGGTACATATCAGTGATCTAACTATGAAAGACTTTTTCAAAATATTGGTGGAATTCCCCTTCAACAGACCAAAATCTGTAGCTGTAGCCTAAACCCTGACAGAGTGCATCCAAGCTTTTATAGGTGGATGTCTGGTTCCTATCACCACTACTGTAAATGAGTGCTACTTGATTATTTAGTCTAGATTTAAGCCTTTGATATCCGGCCACTCTGAATGACTATGTTTACATATTAGTGATCTAACGATTAACTTTTTTTTTTAATATTGGTGGAATTCCCCTTCAACAGACCAAAATCTGTAGCTGCGACAGAGTAAACAGTCCCAGAATGATGCTCAGCCAAAAACAAGCCTGTTGATTGGCCACACCCTCATTGCCTGGCTTTCACACTTCTTGTTGGGTTTCATTCTGTTTTTTGCCCTTAAACATCATAAACCTTCATACTGCAGCTCTGTTTACTGCATCTTGACCTCCGACTGCCTCCTCGCTGCACTTCCTCAGGGCAGTTTGTCTCGTTTCAGAGAAAACTGAAGATCTGTCTGTCATGTTTGGATAAACATTCTCATGTCGTGTCTCCTCGTCTGATGAAAACATATCTCTGCTATGCATTAATATCTTTATGTTCCCTTCCTTCACTTTTTATTACTCATTCCAGATTATCTTCACGCAAAGTTGTAGTTTCATATCTCATTTTTTTTCATGTATAATTTATTTCTAAACTGCTTTAGTTCTTATTTTCTCTGTGATTTTATATACAGAATCATTGAATATCCCTGATACCGCACATATTTTAGAGGAGTGAATGAGTTCAGTTTACAGTGTCTTTGATAATCTATAATAGACGACTCATGAAAAGGACCTCAAACAGACATTAATGAGAGTATTTTAATGATTATTTTTCAAGGTGAAGTATAGTTACAGTGCATTGAGAGGGCTTTTAAAGAGGAGCTCCACAAATCTTTTAACATTTCTGTATGATTCAGTGTGTGAGATGTAAACAGAGTGATTCAGAGTGGTTTGGTGTGAAATGGTTCTGATCTCCTGGTGGTGATAGGAACCAGGGGTCGCCATGACTACAACACAAATATAGACATTTTATTTACTATCCAGAACCACCAGTGAACCTACACGAGTCTTCTGAGTTTATATGTTGATGATGGAAAATAGTGGAAAATCTGAAATAATAAGTTTTTTTTGGGGACTATTTTGCCTCACAGCGCCCTGAATATTGTGTATCCCTCCACCATGAATGGAGTTTCAGGCCAAAATCTTCTCAAAACGATCATAAAACAGAGTCTCAGTCATCAGGAAGTGAATTCATAACCATTTCATGTAGTAACTTTCTGTGAGGAGCTTTTAGAGGTGGACGTCTGGTTCCTATCACCACCACTGTGAACAGTTCTGACTTGGTAAGTTTCTCTGTACTCTGAACGACTCTGTTTACATCTTAACCACTTAATTACACAGACAATTTGGAAAAAAATGTGTATTTGTGATTGTGAATCTACTGCTAAATACAAAAAGCTAAAAGAAAACATCCTTTTTCAATCAAAACTTAAAAAGAAGTCTTACTTATGACCAGGACACTTTCCTAAGTGACTAATCCCACTTGTGGGGCCACTTGTCGCTCTCTAAGCGGCTGCATATACACCAACACTCATTGTCCATTTTATCAGCTCCACTGACCATATAGTGTCACTCTGTAGTTCTACAGTTACAGACTGTAGTCCATCTGTTTCTCTGCATACTTTGTTACCCTGTTCTTCAGTGGTCAGAACCCCCACAGAGCAGGTACTATTTGGGTGGTGGGTCATTCTCAGCACTGCAGTAACACTGACGTGGTGGTGGTGTGTTAGTGTGTGTTGCGCTGGTCTGAGTGGATCAGACACAGCAGTGCTACTGGAGTTTTAAACACCTCACTGCTGGACTGAGAATAGTCCACCAACCAAAAATATCCAGCCAACAGCGTCCTGTGGGCAGCGTCCTGTGACCACTGATGAAGGACTAGAGGATGACCAACACAAACTGTGCAGCAGCAGATGAGCTATCGTCTCTGACTTTACATCTACAAGGTGGACTGACAAGGTAGGAGTGTCTAATAGAGTGGACAGTGAGTGGACAGTGAGTGTTTAAAAACTACAGCAGCACTGCTGTGTCTGATCCACTCATACCAGCGCAACACACACTAACACACCACCACCACGTCAGTGTTACTGCAGTGCTGAGAATGACCCACCACCCAAATAGTACCTGCTCTGTGGGGGTTCTGACCACTGAAGAACAGGGTAACAAAGTATGCAGAGAAACAGATGGACTACAGTCTGTAACTGTAGAACTACAAAGTGAAACTAATTTGTAATTGTAATTCTACGTTGCGTCCACAAGGCGGCGCCGGCGCTGTGGCGCTGCAGCACTGCAGAGGGTTTCTAGCGCGTCAGAGCGGAGAGAGAGTCAAACAGCAGCTTTTACTGCATTCATTTAAACTCTGAGCGCTGAAATGATGAGATTTTGAGTGTTGAGCTGCACTTTCGGTGTGTTTATCACACAAGTTAAGCCTGAAATGATATAAAAACTGAAATAAATCAAATATGTGCACGAGCTGGGGGGTCTGAGAGGGGCAGAAAGTGGACGGTGGGCAAAAAAAAACAAAAAAAAACAGGCTTTCTTTCTTCCTTTTTTTCTTTCTTTCTTTGTTTCTTTCTTTGTTTCTTATTTATTTATTTTGAGATATGCTCCACTGTCCAGCCACGAGCGCGAGGCGGAGTCTGTTCTCGTTCTCTCTCTCTCTCTCTCTCTCTCTCTCTCTCTCTCTCTCTCTCTCTCTCCACGCGAGGGGTTGAGTGAGCTGAGCTCCTGACACGAGCTCTCCTTCCTCGCGTCGCCCTCCGCGCTCGTGCTCGCCGCGCTTTTCCTTTGTGCGTCTTTTTTCCTCCTTTTTTTTTCTTCCTCCGGATGAAACCAGGATGAGTCTGAAGGCGCCGCGTGGGGCAGAAGATCAGCTGGAGATGTGAAGGAGAAGAAAAGTGCAGCAGCACAACTTCAGTCCTCCGGTCTTCATCCAGGAAGAGGCTGGAAGAATAAACCGTGGAGGGATTTTTCCACCCCAAAAAAGCAGGGAAGCTCCTTTTTCCCAGGACAGAGGATGGATCGTGGAGAGAGGGTCCCTGTTTTAGGCTGCTGCAGCTGCTAGTGGAGTATTTCCCCTCTGAAACGCGCACAGCGGAGCTGGAGAGCATCAGTCAGAGTGAGTGCGGCACTGAGGGATTCAGTGGAGCTTCTCGGCTCTGGTCGATCAGACGTTCTGCCTCTTTTTTGCCATGTTTTTGTCTGCTTTGCTTCTTTGGATCCCAGTGAGCCCCACTTCTCCAGCTTGCTCTTGAATCGCTATCCCTTGTCTTTCACTTTCCGACACTCCTGAAGCCCTCGAATGATCCTGCTATGAGTGAGGTGTCCAGAAATGTAGCTGAATACAAGCACTACAGTGTCAAGTCACCCACCTGCAGCCTATGCAATAGAGTTTGGGGGTCCGCTGGGCTGCTCTGAGCACCTTCCCACTGGCTTTGGTCTTGTTTTTACTCCTGCTGCTGCTCAGATGTGGAGGTTGAAGTCAGGCCATATCTTCACACTTTGAAGGAGTCCTGTAACTTCACCCCTTCCTCCTTTTTTTTGGTCTCTGGACGCTCCTCTCCTCGTCAGAGTGTCCTGCTGGAGGGAGATGGGCGCTCATGCTTTGGGATTTTTGCTGATTTTCCTGCTGGAGCGCACATGGGTCGAGGCGGGCAACATGGAGCCCATCTACTGGAATTCCCTCAACAGAAGGTATGTGATTGTGCCACAGGAGCCGTGATCTGTTTCAGGAGGAAATGAAATGGCACAGGCACTTTCACCCGGTCCCTAAACGTCCTTCAGTAACTTATACACCTTTCCTGAGGTTCCGTAAGCTTTAATGGGGATTTCCAACAAAACAGAGTGGTTTGGTGTGAAATGGTTCAGGTGTCTTTAGAGTGGTCGTGATAGGAACCAGGGGTCGCCATGACTACAACACAAATATAGACACTTTATTTACTATCCAGAACCACCAGTGAACCTACACGAGTCTTCTGAGTTTATATGGAATGTTGATGATGGGAAATAGTGGAAAATCTGAAATAATAAGTTTTCTTTGGGGACTATTTTGCCTCACAACACCCTGCATATCATGTATTCCTCCACCATGAATGGATTTCAAGGCCAAAATCTTCTCTAAACTATCATAAAACAGTGCCTCAGTCATCAGGCAGTGCATTCATAACCATTTCATGTAGAAACTTTCTGTGAGGGAGCTTTTAGAGGTGGACGTCTGGTTCCTATCACCACCACTGTGAACAATTCTGACTCTGTAAGTTTATCTACAATGGAGCGTTTCACGCCAAACCACTCTGAACGACTCTGTTTACATCATAACTGTTTAATTATGCTGAGATGTTGAAAAATCAGTGGAATTACACCTTTAAGGTTCTTCACGCTTGCACATCTCATTTACAGATGTGGTTCATCCATTGAAAGGTTCTCTAGGGAGCCAAAAGTGGTTCTCCGAAGAACTCTGAAAAAAAGCAATGCATGTGAATGTGTTGTATTTCCACATGAATAGAATATATTGCAATATTATTAGCTAATATGATTACTAGGTAATAATTTTTGATGTAATATCTAAGTTATTATAATTTATCAGATTAGAATAAAGAAAATTCCATCATTTTTTAGTATGTAGTCTCAGGTCAGAGTATGTAGTGGTGCCACACAGGTGGGCAATATGATATATGAAATTTTATCATTATGTGATATGTTTTTCTGAATTTACAAGGCCTTTATCCTGCATTTCTGTCATATTTTAGTTTTTTCTACAATTATGAGATCCATTTATAACATCGCTGAAGCTTTATGCACCAAAAACAGTCATAATTCAATTTCATGTGTCCGTTTTCCAGCCTCTCTTTATCACTTAGGGCTCAAATCAAATCAGGCTGTTTTTGTCACCGCGCCTTTAAGACTGCTATATGTAAATGAGCCACGTTCTGATCTCATTTAAAAAGCAGTCCAGGATGAAACACTCCTTATAACTTCACAGTGAGTGGGCGGAGTTAAACTGCTGTAGGCTGAATAGGCGGATATATGTAAATGGGTTGTTTTCCGTGACAAATACTTTTTTCATATTCGTTTACATTTTCTTAAATGGACTCTTTGGACTTGAACAGCGCTTATATGAAACTTTAACTTTAAATACTACATCAAACTCAGTTTTCTAAGATTTAGGTTCTCTAAATGACGCCTGATTAGTCCTGTTTGAGGAAAAACAGAGCAAACTGGCCGCCTCAGACTTGACCAAATCTAGCGGAAAATGTAATCAGCATGTCTGGACACATTTGTTCGTCTCTCTTTGAAACGCCTGCATGAGGAAGAGAAGAGTTTTCCATGTAAACAAACCACAAACTGCACATTTAAGCTCGTTTGCTAGTTTTCATACTCAATGCGGTTTAGAACGCGTCCACTTTGTCCTGAAACTGAACGAAAGGCTCCGTACATTCAGCCCTGAGAGAGTAGGGGTCACTTCATGCCCCACTGCTTCTTCGTTATGCCGCTTATTGTCCTGTACGGGCAAAAAATTTATGTTGCCCCTCAGGCATCAAAATCCCAGCAGGCTCCGCCTCCTCTGTGGGTCTCCACACAAGAGGTCACATCAGTGAAAACAAGTGCCCTGGACTGAGACTCTGCTGTCCTTTTCTTCTGAAATGAAAGGTATTAATAGTGATTTTGCCCCCCCTTTGCTGCAGTAACAGCCTCTAGTCTTCTGGGAAGGCTTTACACTAGAGGGTGAACATTGCTGTGAGGATTTGATTGAGCATTAGTGAGGTCAGACACTGATGTTGGATGGTCAGTTCTGGGTCACTCCAGCTCATCCCAAAGGTATTGGATGGAGCTCCATCACCCTGTTTCGCAGCCCAGTGCTGGGGGGCTTTATACCCCTCTAGCCCACGCTTGGGCTCATGTGCTGCTGCTCTGGAGTGACCCATTCTATTGGTCAGCGCTTTCCTATAGAGATTATACAAGATTTCTGTGCACAACTGGACGACTTGTTTGTTTGTTCACAGTTCATTTAAATAAAAATCTAAAAATGGGCATTTAAAGACAGTAAGAGGCTCAAAAAGCCAGCAGATACAGATCAAGGAGTTTATTCATTCTTAAAGACCTTCCAGGTGCTTTCTTTCAGTTTCTTTGCAGTTTCAGTGATTTGCTCTGGATAAGAGCATCTGCTCCAGTAGAAGTCTCTCAGGCCGAGTCCCATCTCTTATTTTTAACCATACCCCTTGTTTTCGAGTGCCACCTTGCCCCTTGGAACTGAGCTACAAGGGGTAGTGGTTCTGTAGGTGACCCTGCCAGTCTGCAGTGACAGCAGAGGAGGGTAAAGTTCAGCTCCTCACTGCTGGGCTTTAGTTACATTTAGGGCATCATATGACTTCAAAGAGGGGGGCAATTATTTATTATCACCCCCCCTAATTCTTCAGTGATATGAAGCTGAAGTCAGATATTCGGCTGATTCTCGTTCAAATTTTCCTGTTCCACCTTAAATGCACCTGCACCTTACATGCCACAATGTAACTGCTTCACCATTTGAGGTGGAACAGGAAATTTAGCTAACTAGCTACTGAGACATCAGCATAGCACTAACAATTTTTTAAGCTTGTTATGGAAGAAAATACCATAATACACTGAAACGACATTAAACTAAGATAAAATGATGGTTATCGTAATTTTTCAGCCATCTTGCCGGTTTGGAGTCTCTTTAAAACCTCTGTTTGGAGGGTCATGTAGCCCCAACACTCAGCCCTACCCCTCCGTTTTGCACGTTCACATCTAGGGGTAGGGTGTCCCGATTCTTGTTGAGATAGAGGGGGAGGGTGAAGTTTTGGGGCTACATGGCCTCCAAACGGAGGTTTTTCAGAGACCCCAAACAGAGATTTATGAGAAAAAAAGAAAAACCGGCAAGACGGAGAACAAGAGACCAAAGAAACCCACAAATGTGAGAATTTTCTCTGTTAAAAACTATGATAACCATTGTATTTTCTTAGTTTAATGTCGTTTCAGTGTATTATGATCCTTTTCTTCATAACAAGATTAAAAAATCGCTAATAGCATGCTGATGTCTCGGTAGCGTGTTAGCTAACTTTCCCGTTCCACCTTAAATAGTCCAGCAGTTCTGACGCCTGAAGCACCAGACTGTAACTGCTGCTACATTTAAGGTGGAATGGGAAAATTTGAACAAGAAGCTGGTGAATATCTGACTTCAGCTTCAAATCAGTGAAGAATTAGGGGTGGGTAATAATAAATAATTGCCCCCCTCTTTGAAGGCATATGATGCCCTAAATGTAACTAAAGCCCAGCAGTGAGGAGCTGAACTTTACCCTCCTCTGCTGTCACTGCAGACTGGCAGGGTCGCCTACAGAGCAGCGCTGGTAGCTGTTAATGAAGTGATACTCTTTTTTTTTGAGGGTTGTTTCTGTTTCATAGGGGAAGATCTCAACCACAACCCTGTAATTCAGTTCCAAGGGGCAACACTCGAAAACAAGTGTCAACAGTTTCACATCTCGCTGTCCACTTATGGTCAGATCACTCGAGAGGGACGCTAATACCAAGTGTGAACAGGGCCAGAGAAATTTCGTTTTTCTAGCTTTTTACTCTGTTTGTGTTTCTTCATTGTTAAGGATATTTTTTCCATATCTGACTCGGCTTAATGATCTTCAGGTCACACATCTTTAGGATCATTGAGATATTTTAAACATTTGAAATTTCAAAGCCAGTTTAAAGGAGAGGAAAGCTGGAGAGGAAAGACTTGAATCGACTGAGCCAGTGTTGGTGGGGAGACTCGCGGCGCGAGTCGTCGGGCAGCCGTGCCGGGTGAGATGTTCTTCAGGTACCTGAAAAGGTCAACTTGTTTACACACGGCCCATCAGCCAGGCCCTTCGGCCAGACGCGCGCTAACCTGAGCCTTTTTTGCATTCCTCCTGTGACTCGTGCCTCTGTTTGTGCTTGCAAATGCAGAGGAACTTCAGAAACGCCTGTAGCTTAAGGGCCCGAGTTCAGCCCAGCAGCATTCAGATGCTGTACTTTCTGCAGTTTTTGAAGTAAATATGTGATTAGAATGATTTAAGTGTACCTGCTGGTTTGAGAGCGGATGCCTCCGCATCAGAGAGAGAGATATTGATGCTCGATGGGTCAGGGAGGGCGTCACGCCTGGCTGTGTTTGAGGAAGCGAGCAGCGCTGCTTCTTCTTCTTCTTTTTTTTCTTAAACGCTCGGTAAACGAGTGTAAGCGTTTGTGAGTGCAGGCTGTCTCTCTGCATCGCTCCAGGGGAAGTTGTTGTACAACTCTCCGCCTCAAATGCACATTAAAAATTAATCCTTCACAGCCTCGCTCAATATTTAATGAATCAGTTGCTAATTGGAGGCAGATAAAAGCTCGTTTAACTGGGTTAAGCGTTTCGAATTAAAACGTTTTAAGGAAAGGGAAGGAAAAAAGTAAAAAAATACCAAACAGTGATAGCAGAGTCTGCCTTGCTGCTTTGGAGAGCGATTAAGAAAGGCCTGTTGGACCTGGGATTCACGCTGCCTTGTCATATTCCTGAAGATGCTTGTCATATTCGCTCTTGGATGTCAGGAAATGTGCATGTTTGGGAAGCGTGTGCTACTTTGACCGCTATTGTTAGGTACTTAGTAACTCAGTAACTGAGCCTACATTCACTGCCAACCGTAGATATCTATACCTGGATGCCGAGTTGTCTGTTA